GCCATTCCAAAAACTCGAAGAACTCTTCATTATTTCGTGATGTGAACAGCATGCCATGCTCCCAGAGACCCTTCATAGGGTCGTAATGATGCAATCCTTGCATCTCTCGAAACCGCATCGCAATGTGACTGGGCAGCCATCGCCCAAATCCACCAATGATCAACTTGCGTGCTCCCCCAGAAAGTGTACTTAAAGCCAGCATTCGGTCGTTATCGTTGAAGGGCAATGGATATTTTGGAAAGGAGTCCTTCTGAAGACACAGGATCTGCATAAGCTAGTACACTGTTTAGATACACGAGGCACGCACCGAATCAACGCAGTGTGATTGAGTCGCCACTGGGGCAGCAGTATCGCCTGGATGCGTCGTGCAGGTGGTATCCGTACCAGCTCCATGTTCTACTGGAGCATTGGAAGCATTGAGAGAGGAATCGACTGCGGCAAGCAACTGCTGGACGTCTTCGCCGGTACCACAACCCTGCAGCGCACCACAGCAGTCATGCTCAGTGCATTGTTTGTCGTGATATGCACGCCAATCGACTAATTAGCAGATCAATACAGTTATATTAATGATACAAGTGACAAACGCACGAAACACAAGTATATCAGAACATGTTGAATTCTGCACATGTTTAAAGGTCACCCCATGAGTCGCTTGGTAGGTCTTCGCGATCCCTTGGCGTCAAAGCCCTGGATATGTGATCCAACCAGAGATAGTAAATCGAGCGCTGGGGATCTGAATTTGCCATGCAAATGCATCTGGAGACTGTGCAGCGTCGTCCATGAATGCAATCCGTACTTCATTCATGTAGTCCATGATTGAGGCATATACATCACGCATATGGGAAGCGTTACAATGGGACGAAGAGCTGAGGTGGGCCACAGATCTTCCTATACAGGCCAAATTTCTTGTTCAGCGCATGGAGAGGAATCGATAGTGCGCAGCAACGTCACAGTACTGGCGGCCCGACTGGATACTTTGAATGAACACAGTCCATCCACATCTTGAATTGTTCCTTTGACTTTCAGTAGTCGACCGATCTCCTCTGGACTCCATTGACGAATGTGACACAACGGATTCATGGAAAGGAATGTGCCCGCTTGCAGGTCCACCAGTTCCGCCTCAGTACTTGTAATATCTCGGGTGCCTCAAGCTTGTAACTCGGCTCCACACAGCCATATGCATGTGATGTCAAATTTTCAAAACCATGATCCGGTGCTGTGCTAATCAAATCCAATTGTTTATGAAATTAGCGGTATGGGCTGTTCGTCCATCGTGTACTGGTGTATGGGAGATTAAGACCCACTTTCATATGCAATATAAATACAGGTACTGTCTGACTGTATCATTGGGCTGCTGATAATAAGATCCAATTATACTCCCCAGCTGGCCTGTATGCAACACTGCTGTGCATGCAACAGCGGTGTTAGTGTTGGTCACACATGGCCGCCCTCATTTTACAGGTCGTTCGGCTGGCAACACGATTTTTTCATGACTCCCAAGCCTGCAATGAAAAGCCCGCGCCTAGCCCAAATGCATTAACAACATGTGGTGAATTTTGACTTTGCCCATCACTAGTGTATATGGCTATATTTCAAACCTTATGACCCTGACATTACTCCCCGGACACAAGCCATTGATGTGGGTCGCTGAAACCGACAGCAGATGGCACTGTATCCAACATTTTGCGAACCAAAAAACAACATCTATGTTGAGTAGAGTAGAGTAAGACATTTCAGAATTCAACTACTATTATATCACCATCCCTTTGCACGTGGGGCAGGAATATCGTCGAATAATCTCGTTAGCAGATGTGTCCACTGTCGGCTGAAGGTCGTCCATCCATCCATCAGGAAGTTTACCGAGCTTCATCGCCTGTTCCATCAGTGCTCTAATCTGAACGACAAGCATACCGTTTCCAACTATCCCACAATGTCCCCCACGTCGAATTGGTGTTGTCAAAAGGACAAGAAACTCTTCATCAAAGTTCAACGCCGTCGTAGGGAGATGTCAGGCGTGGCTTGGTGTTCCTACTCATCCTGTGGCCAAGGGCCGACATACAAGCCTCATTGAACCACCTGCAACAAGACCTGCAGTATCGTTGCAGGTGATTGGGGGACGAGAATGCGATATCGCATGAGTTGCAACTGCAGTTCGTGGATACCTGTGAATTCTGTGAAACAGATCATGAGGTTCATCCACTGCATCATATAGAAACCATACATACCTCGATATTGACTTCCTGCAGCTGCAGGACATTCCTGTGCGTTGTGAATTTCATGGATATATTCCACCGGTGGTATAGGGTGGCAGTTGGTATTTGAGGTTGGGATAAATCGCCCTCATCATACCGAACAATCTTTGCGTGAGCTGCAGTGCATAAATAGATATTACTGGGATGGTCTGGACCGGCAGAAATCGTTGAGAACACACCCTTCGACGCAATGCATGTCCACAACAGACTTGTGATCGCTCAACACAAGCTCATAGTCACCGACACAAGCTGCAAGGCTGGATGAAGACACTTTCAATGTTTCTGCGAAGCTCCCCAATGTAACAACATACTCCACATCTTGATCCTCCAAGTCAACCCGCCTGTAGTACCACTGTATGTCGAGCCACACGTCCTTCCGCACACCACCACCACATGAGTAACCATATTGGAATGGGACACAAACGATGGTCTCACTCACCTGTGTCTTTTTGGCCGTCGTCAAATAGATCCCCCTAACTTTACCATACCAATATGACATCGTAGGGAGACTTCCATCATTCAATGGTACCGCACGTTCATCAAGTGGAAATATCGCGACACTGAAAAATGCAGGTCAGAATTTCAAAATAAATATGTAGACATTCACATACTCATCCCTAACTCGAATGATTAAACTGCCCTTGTCGATCGAGCTATCAGAGTGGTCATCAGTATCGTAGACCCCTGTGGGTGATGGTAAGCGAGTATTGCTGTCAGGTGCCACAGTGGAACATACATTCCAATGATGTACATCGCCTGAGTGTGCGCAGCTTTGGATGATCACTACGCATAGGAGGTAATGTTCTTCTCTCCTCTGAATGAGATACATGGCTGATCACTAAAGGTCGGACAGAAATGCAGGCGAGGGACATGAGGACGATGTAGGTAAGGTCAAGCGTGCCTACAAAATGGGGCTCTCGGTGTTGAAGCAGAGTTTGATCCATCCTATATACATCCCTTGATCGATCACCAGCGTAATACTGTGTCATGCCGGAGTGTGATCCGAACTTTACACATCACTTGATCGAGCACCTGCATAATATTATGACATGCCGAGTATTGCCACCCTAAGCTAATCCGATGTTCCATTAACCGAATAACCAGATAAATCGAACACACCTAGTCCAATGGAGCTAAACCTCGGAGTCTATGAAGCCAGGGACCTTGAATATTAACGGGAATATAATACATGGACCCTGGGAGGGTGGTGCAAGCGCTCAGCCCCAGGTACAGCGCATACCTACGTTCTGATGGATGAACACTATGTCAGTGATGTTCAACTGGCAATCATGGAGTCCAAGATTCTGGATTGGGACCCACGACGCTCGAGGATTGTAGGTGCCCTTGGATACACGCCCGAAAATACATTGGAGGATGGATGGAACACTGATGACGATCTGGGAGGACTGTCAGCAGCTATAGATAATTGTAAAATTGTACATTCAAGCGGGACTCATGTCCAGACAACTAAAGGACGACGAGGCCGGCCTAAAAAGCGAGTGGTGCAGCGCCGTGGGTACATCTGCTTGACCCCTATTTACATGGACATGACACTGGATTTCAGGTACCAAGCAGATGCCAGGCGTTGCGAGTACTCAGGATGGCAGCTCAGCTATCCAGAATGCGCTTGGAAAGTGTACCATTCGTGCTACCACAAGTCCGGTGCCTGACCATTTCCCTGCACGAGCGGATGTGGTGTACTGCGTTCCCACTGATGAAACGATAAGCACTACATGCGATGGTCTTCAAGAGCACGAGGTGCATGAGGATCAGGAGGAGGAGGAGGAGGATGTGGTTAATATAGTACAGGAAATTCTGAACTCTGGTATCATGGATTGGAATCCGCAGGAATCATGGACCGCAAAGCAGAACACGGATCATCGGCAACATATTGATCCACAGTGCGAGGAACAGTCCACAGCGATAGAAAGTTGCAGAATAGCCGAGAGGGAGAATGATACACAACAGAACAAGCCACGTCGGGCACGCGGACGACCTAACAAGACGGGAATTCCATGTCGTCAGTCCCAGAATCTCAACCCTATTTTCATTGAAATGACACTTGAGCACAGGCAGCACGCACAAGGCCCTAACTTTCACTGATAATAGCAGTGTCAGACACGTCATTCGTGCGACGAGTAATCCATGCCAGCAGGAAGCTCCCAACAATCTTGATGGGATATATGATGGCGTTGGTATCAACACTGTCCCCCCTGTCGATGCATGCGAAGCGGACAGCCAACCAACAGCAGCTGAATTCCAGAGTCTCAATATCAATGGGACAGCGATGAAGAGCAGGAAAGTCGGGGAACAACCGTCCACACGACGTGGTCGTGGACGTCCCAAAAAATATGCTACACATAAAGAAGTGAATGGTCGGTCGATCTCCATCTCTCTGTTGAAGATGTAATGGTATATTCTATTTCCAGCGTCCAGGACACATGTGACTCATGAAGCGTCTTCAAACATTGTCGAACTACAAACCGAGGATGATGACCACAATCAGCGGGCGCAATGTAAGCATTGACTACCATGGGTGCACGAGCAGGTTCAAACATTTATTTTGTATATCAGGGAGATCACAGTCTATCGGAGGAGCCGTTGATCACGACTATAGACCCACCCCCCCACCGGAAGACGACTTCAGGGCACACTCGCTTGAAGCGCCTGCGCCTACATTGGCTGCACTTACCGAGCAGGAAATCGCCTGTGAGTGGAGTTCAGAGTATATGATGATGGAACTGGAGACACTCATGTTACCGACTAACAGCTCGTTCAATGGCGCAGCCGGGTGTCTGGCTGTCTGTGCTGCATAGCTGGACGACCCTTGGATTAAACGAGTGGCTCGAAGCAGCAGTCGCAAATTTTTACTTGTCTCATGTGTGGTATGAGATGCTGGGCAGAACACACATGAGATATGTGGACTGGAATGCAGCGACAGCGAATAACATCGAGGATGAAGAACTGGAGCACTTCCGGCGGAACCATTTTGTGCCCCATGACGGCACATGTGCCATGGCCCCTGTCGGATTCATAGTGCATCATTCCAACCATTTCTTCGTGGTCATATTCGATTATGAGCGACGCATGGCGCACGTCTTGGGTCGCCATATTTCTGCGGATTCAATGGATGTAGACGGAGAGGATCCACATGACTGGAACGATTGGAGAGGTCCGGAATATTGGAGGAAAATCGGAGCCCTTCATGGATGGAGCACAGGAGATGTCTCAGACGTGTCCATCAACCCAATGGACTGGGAGCAAAATGGAGTCGACTGTGGTCCCATCGCTTGCTCCGTGCTGGCGCAATGCCTGAAGCTGGGTTTAGATGAGCAGGGAAACATTACCGGACTTTGAGATCCAATGCGGTCACAAACTGCGGATTCACATGCTGCGTGTCATTGCTGCGCATGTCAAGCTCTGTTGCAGCAACTACCTGATGCTCCTAGACAGCCCACGAGATGATTGGAAAGACGACGAGCTACCCGACGAGGACATCATCAATTCGATCCAGAATGGGCGATACCAGGCCTGATTGCCTCAAGCTCCTGCGGAGGCTCATTGTTGTGAGCGCCACCTGCTCCTTGTGTCAACGCCCCATCGTCCATCAAGATGGAGAGCATGCCTCGCACAGTGGCGAGAATGGAGATGGCACCAATGCAGACCCAGATGGTCCAGATGGATTGAGCGAGGACGATGACACCACGAATGTGGTACATGCGATGGGCAAGGCGCACCTTGACAAGCTGTTCAAAGCAAGCAAACACCTCGCTGGATCTCGGAATCGCAATTCAATAGTCCCTCGTGCCATTGGAACACACCTTCAACTCGAGCCAGAATTACCATCGGTCGTCCATGATACCGAGGACTCTCAACGCACTGTAGCTGCCACAACATCTCGGAGACGAGTGAAAAGCTGGTATCTTGGAAGCAACAGACGATTTCCACGTCCAACCGCACCAATTCCATTGGCTGCATATGGAGGTAGGAGATGGCTGCCAGACGACCATGGATTCGATGAATATGAGGGCGGACCCACCATTGAGATGATGATGACTCCCAGGGATATCGATACGACGATGACATTCCGTGCTGGAGGGATGCAGATCTCCACTGCTTGGTTAGACTGGGTCGATTGCGGCTATCGCATCACACCAAGTTCATTCCACATTTTCTATCAATGCGACCCCACTGCAACCATGGACCATATCATGCCTATCGGCACGACAGACTCCCATGATCCTTCGGACCAAGTTCCGGATCGTGTGACAGGTGCATACAGCCTGAAGCGACGGGGAACTGATCATGAAGAACAGCGCACATACGTCAATGATGTAGAAATACTCTCCGCATCTGAGCTCGTCGAATCTGCCCAATACGATCCCCCACTGCAGGACGAATGCAGGTTCGGACACAATGCCTTTGTGCGGGGCTGCACCAGTCATCGGTATGGCGATGGTCCTGCCTTATATGTTGATCTCGAACGAGATGCTGTTTCACTCTCAGAAGACGAGATAGAGATCTCGGTGGACATAGACAGCATCATATGGACAACAAAGGTGTTCCGATGCAAAGGGTCTGTTGGTGTTTACATCGTTCCGCCTTTCCAAACGAAACCAGGCATATACAAGCACAATCACACCTATGTAGAGATCACCATACCGCAGTCGGAAGAGGATGCAAATTCACCCGGTGGGAGGACTGAATGGCTGTCCAAACGATTTCCCATGTCTGCAATCCCTCACGTCTGCATGGGGCGCATATCATCAGCATCATCGACACTCAATCTATACATCGCGTTCCCAAGGATGATTCATCAGCACCCAACGAACGGTCGGAGAATCACTCTGATGCCAAAGGAGGTCTTGGACATATTCTGGGATAGGGTACTGCTTCCATCGATTGGACAGTGCACCGACGTCAGCTGGGAGCCATACCTGAAACACACATTGGAGGAAGCACGTTACAAGGCCAGAGGTGCGGACGGGAGAAGGGGCGGATGGGGACCTCCTAAGACCATACCCCTTTCAGACGATGACTTTTGTGACGTGCAGAAACGTATGGAAGCTCGCATACGTGATGGAGGACCCGAGCTCAGCATGTATGGGTCGTTTTTCTTTATTCTGGAAGGAAAGGGAATAAAGCTGCTCACGAAGGATGGCCAGAGGGGGCGTTTCTCAGGACCAGAAGAGGCCCTGCGTCGCAACCTACCTGACCTTGACTGGAAATATATGATGAACAGGAGGCATGGCGAACTGCTGGTAGATGTGGGTGTCTCATTCACGCCCCACTCTCCGAGTGTCCCACTCGTAGGGGTATGGCGCTTAGACGCACTGGAAGCATCATTTGGAGCGGGAGGCTACAAAAGAGGGGAGATACATCATCACAACACACTATCTAGATATGGGGCGCTGCAGGCCGAGATGCAACAGGAGAGATCCCAGCAGACGCACATCGCATTCAGGAGCACCTACAACCTATACTATGAGTCGATTCGAACGAACAGCAACCAAGCGAATTTCGCATCCGACAGCGACGCCTATAAACTGTCCCCATCATATATGGCTGAATGCACCGAAATCGCCAAGGTCGTCGAGGGTTGCAAGGAGAAAACATATGGTGTCAGGGATGAGTATAGGGTGAGCGGACATGCAGCCAGAATCATCCTGGAAAATGTGGAAGAAAAGGTCAGTGACACACGCTCCAATCATCGTCGACTATAGAATGACTTGGGCGATTCTCGTCATGCAGGCCAGAGAATACCTGAAATCAGATCCAGTCCTGTGGATTCCATCCAAGATCTGGTTCGAGCTTCTGAGGAGACGGGTGCGGGAGATTCAGAGGACCCAGATATCCATTGTCAGAAAGAATCCGCCGAATCTTGGCGTTCTCACTGGAGTGCTCAACCACATGCTTCGCTCTACAACATCAACTCCTATCATCTACGACTCTCATGTCCGCGAATCTCTTGCCCTACTCGAGTACAGAAACATCCTCGAAACTGCAGGAATGTTTTTCTTACACGACTTCGACATCAATAGCGACACCTGCCTGACTGAGGTGCAGCAAATCGATGACGTGCATGTACTGGCCCTCATGGGAGTCAATGCAAAGGCTCAAAGGGACCGGGCAGTGAGCAGAACTAATGTATGGCAAAGCACCGAGTCTGAACTGGAGGACTATCCTCTTGGTCCGCACACCAACATGGACTCGACTCAAGGCAGCCATGTCAAACTCGCCTGCAATGATCATGAGACCCTGGGTGTGGTCACCCAGATTGTCCAACACTCAACTCTCCGTCGGACGTTCGGTGGTCATGTTCACTAGGCACATGTGGCTGATGCTCACACCCGAAATCTTCAAGGGCATCAGACCTCACCCAAACTCGCTTCAAGAGGCCATGAAGTGCTGGACAATCACCAGCATCGATGACACTCTCGCTGCAGTCGCATTTGAAGCATGCAATGCCGGGCTGAATGATAGTACGGGCGTCACTCCTGGTCGCATGGGTCCGAAGTCGAGGCCCTTCCTTGACAGGTGCACTCTGTTCTTTCCCGACCCTGATGCCGCCCATAAGGACAATACTCAGTGGTCTGGGCTTTGGGAGGGCGATGGATACATTGCAGAATTTCACAGGACGATGAAGGCGATGGATGAGGATCAGCAACAGTTGCTGAAACAGGGATTACGTGAGGTATTTTCGGAACTTCACTGCCTTCCTGCTAGCGGAGCAAGAGTGTGGACGCAAAAGAACGAAGCAATCGTGTTCACGACCAATCCCATATTCTACAAGATCGACTGTATTGGAAAGGGGAGGCGAGAGTCCAGAAGAGGGCCCCAAAAGCGCGACGAACGATGAAGCTGATCAAGGGTAAACGCATATTTGCAGCTGACCTCATGGACTCTCAACCCTTCGACACTGATGGCAATCTGCGGAGAAAGACAGAGAGACAGAAGCGGCGGGAACTTCAGAAGCAAATGACCATGGCCAAGAAAAACAAGAGAGTCCCCCCTCCCCCACGTCCACGGAGACCATTTCCCATCACCCAACTAGAAGATATTGTGGAATGAGCGATGGATGTAGATGTACTGTATTAATCAATTTTGTGAATAGCACCTTGGCGCCACCATTGCATGAACTTGGGAACGCAAAACTGCCATGCAAGTGCTCATATACCAGATGAACCTCAATGGCAGCTAATGCCTTCATTCTTTGGCTTGATGTATAATGTAATGCGGGCAACGGGAAGACTAGGATTTAATTTATCATCTGACATCAGGCATTCATTCACATTTGTGAGACACATTACAAAGGACTATGAGGTACAAAAGATGTGATATTGCCACAGTGCAAGACATAGTCGCACGCGCGAGGTTTTTTTATGCAAATGCGGCATCCACATACTCTTTTACGAGTTCAACCACTGTATATTGTGAACAAACTCCATGATGTCATTATGAGATCTTCTCTAGTCCATACCTCCACAACTGTAAATACCTGGTCAGCCACCTTGATCTGAAACTCAATGCGAGCTGAGGTTGGTTGACCACATCAGATGTACCCCACAATTCTTATCATTACACTCCTCTACCAATAGGTCTTTTGACTTGCTAGTAGCTAATCAAACATATGTTTCATGATGATAGAACACAGTTCTGTCAAGCGTAGCTACCTAGGGACAGCATTTAACTTATGGACAGGCAATCATTCCTGGAGTCGCTTCTCTTGTAGTCTACATCAACAACCGCTGCCAACTCAACGAAGATGTGAATGTCACCAATAACATATTGGATACATTTACATCATCATTCATTGGTTGATTGCTGATGTAGACTGTGTTGGAGTTTCTCGGTCAAATCATAATGACATTACAACGAGGCACATTTACGAAGGCAAAGCCAGCCAAGAAACAAAAGTCAGTCAAATCTAAGACTGGGACAACCTTTGTGTGTGAACAAAGGTCATCTGAGTCTTAGACCTGACTGACTTTCGCTTCTTGGATCACTTTTCCCTTGTAAGTAAACCTATTCATAATCCCATCAGGATTTGACCGATGTTGTTGGAATGGTGCAAACAAGGTCAATAAATAGTTGCCTGGATTGAGGGTTGGATTGGGCAGAGGGTTACACTGGGCAGAGGGTCGGATTGGGTAGAGGGCTTTGCAGGGCTGAGGGTTGGATTGGGCTGAGGGTTTCGCATTGGGTTAGTAACTGATGCTTAGCCGCCTGGTTTGAGGTTGTATTGGGCCCAGGGCATGATTGGATGGGGATTGAATTTGGCAAAGGGTTTCCATGGGCTGAGGGCTGCATGTAGCTGTGGGCTGATGGTCAGTAATGGTGATGATATTGGTGTTCTGTGGAGCAATGTGGCTGTTGGTTGGCATAGGGTACAGATCATCAGAGCATTATGGCATATCAGTGTCTGATTTATTGTCAGGTTCATGCAGTCTATCCATCAATTTCTCAAGAACAACTCATGCACATGACAGTCGGCTATGTGTTGGCCCATGATAAAAGTAGGTACACTTATCTTGCCATTGCCCACAGAAAGGTTGTCCGAGTCTTAGATTTGACTGACTTTGGCTTCTTGGCTGGCTTTGCCTTTGTAAGTGTCCCTTGCCATAATGTAATTACAATGTCATTGATGTTGTTGCAATGATGCAAGCAAGGTCAAGAAAAAGTCGCTTGGGTTGAGGGTTGTATCAGGCGGGGTCAGGAGTTGGCATGAGTGGGGACACATAGAAAATACCATGACCTACCCAACGAAGTATATTTGAAAATGAAGATAGTTGCAGGATAGTCCAAATCCCAGTAATGACTGTACATCGTCTGTTCTTCTTGGTCCGGTGATTCTTCCCCAAGGCTTAGCAAAATCTTAATGATAGAAAGTGAGGCATGGGACGAATTGATACACACCTAACCTGGTGAGTACAACCCTTTTTCAAGCGTTCATCTACCATCCCTTCACCCAAACAACTCGGAAGAATGTTGTGATCCTCCTTTTCTGGCTTTGACTTCTTGAACCTCCTTCTTCATGACCCCATCACAATTTTTGCACTGTCTTTCGCATATATTCGGTGTCTAGCTAGTCCCTGATCCTCCTCATAATTGAAGAGATTTGCCTCAGTAGCATCCCTCAAGGATGATACTACTAGCACGCCTCTCGAGGTATATATCCTTGTGACCCCCCAGAGTTCACATTCCTATTTCCTCGCCCCAAGTTCGCTCTGAGGGCTATTTGGGTGGCAAGGTCCAGGTTTTGCCAGCCAAGAAGCGAAAGTCAGTCAAATCTGAGGGATTTTCCCATTCATGGGCTCTGATAGAGGTGGCCAAGATTTTCGCTCTGAGGGGTATTTGGGTAGCAAGATCTTGGTCCCTCCTTTCATGGGGGAAACAGCTCTGATAGAGGTGGCCAGGAATTTCGCTTTTGTTACCTTTTCACTTTCTTGTTGGCTCTGGGGGTAATTTGGGTAGCAAGGTCCTGGTTTCCCCCCTTCATGTGGGATTCATCCCTGATAGAGGTGACCATGATTTTCGCTCTGAGGGGTATTTGGGTAGCAAGATCTTGGTCCCTCCTTTCATGTGGGAAACAGCTCTGATAGAGATGGCCAGGAATTTCGCTTTTTTTTACCTTTTCACTTTCTTGTTGGCTCTGGGGGCAATTTGGGTAGCAAGGTCCTGGTTTCCCCCCTTCATGTGGGATTCATCTCTGATAGAGGTGACCATGATTTTCGCTCTGAGGGCTATTTGGGTGGCCATGTCCAGGATTTGCAAGCCAAGAAGTGAAAGTCGGTCAAATCTAAGGGTTTTTCCCCTTCATGGGCACTGATTGTAGCTAGAGTGTTAGAAGAAGCTCCGGACACTGCTTTACAAACTAACCAGTGAATTGGATATCCTTGAACATTAACTTTCTTCCTGCGGTTCCATCAGAGATGCAGTCAAATTCCACTGTATCGTCCATTACCCAAGAACAACTTATTCATATGACAGTCGGCCACATGTTGGCCCACATGGTTTTGCCAGCCAAGAAGTGAAGGTTGGTCAAATCTAAGGGCTCCTTCCCTTCATGCAGGATTCACCTTTGATAGAGGTGGCCAACACTTCATATTTTCGCTTCTTTTAACTTTTCACTTTCTTGTTGGCTCTGGGGACAATTTGAGTGGCAAGGCTCTGGTTTTCCTCCTTCATGCGGGATTCATCTCTGATAGAGGTGACCAGGATTTTCGCTCTGAGGGCTATTTGAGTGGCAAGGTCCAGGTTTTGCCAGCCAAGAAGTGAAAGTCAGTCAAATCTGAGGACTCCTCCCCTTCATGGGGGATTCATCTCTGATAGAGGTGGCCAACTTCTACTTATATTTTCGCTTTCATGGAGTTATGAAGAGAGACATTTATGAAGCCAAAGCCAGCCAAGAAGCGAACATCGGTCAAATCTAAGGACTCTGCCAGATTTCCCTCTAAAATAAAGTTCAAAAGTTGGCTGCCCCTGTCATGCAAGTCAATACCAGACAAGAAGCAAAAGTCAGTCAAATCACAGGACTTGGACAAGTCTTGTTTGTGTGAAATCCACCAAAGCCAAGAAGATCGTAAAAAAGCGAAAATATACATGTACAAGATGGCCACCTCTATCAGAGGTGAACAGCTTGGTCCCTGCTGTGCATTTCTGCATAACACCTCTGCAATTCACAATTTTGGTTTTTCATAAGGCAGATACAGGCAGAATCCAACACTCCGAACCTTGGCAACAAATCAGCAAGATGTATTCGCTGGTGCATCACAGTGGCATAGTAGGGTGGTGAGCAGGCCCCCTCTGAGAGGACCGCATTCTTGCTTATGTAAGCAGCAGCAGCACCACACTCTCCTAAGATCGATTTTTACAGCCTTCATATGACTTGGGGAGGATAAGGTAGGACTTGATTTCGAGGTTATTGAGCAATACAAAGACCATGGTCATGCCAGATTTGCACGAAGAAATCAATTCTCAAAGTTGACCACCCAGGTCATGCTGGCCCCCCACACATTGATTTTAACAGCCTTGATATGACCTGCTTGACTTCAGGCATGACTCATTTTAGAGGTTATTGGACCATACAAACATGTTGGTCATGCCAGATTTCCCTCTTAAAATCATATTCCAAATTTGACTACAACCCCTGTCATGCCCCTCCCCCCCCACCCAAAGATCGATTTTTTCAGCCTTCATATGGCTTGCTTGGCTGTAGCTAGGACTCTTTCTAGAGGTTATTGGACCATCTGAACACATTTGTCGAGCCATAATTGCACAATAAAATCAAATTCCAAAGTTGACCCCCTAGGCCATGCTGGCCCCCCCACACATCGATTTTTGCAGCCTTCATGTGACTTGCCTGGCATCATGTAGGACTTGATTCCGAGGTTACTGAACACTCCGAAAACGATGGTCGAGCCAGAATTGCACGAAGAAATCAAATGCTGGAGTTGACCCCCTAGGGCATGCAGGCCTCCCCCACATATTGATTTTTACAGCCTTCATATGACTCGCAAGGGTTGATGTAGGACTTGTTTCCGAGGTTATTGAACACTCTGAAAAGGATGGTCGAGCCAGATTTGCATGAGAAAATCAAATTCCGAAGTTGACCACCAAGGCCATGCTCCCCCACCCAAAGATCGATTTTTTCAGCCTCCATATGGCTTGCTTTTCTTTAGGTAGGACTCGTTCTAGAGGTTATTCGACCATACAAACACGTTGGTCGAGCCAGATTTCCCTCTAAAAATCATGTTCCAAAGTTGGCTGCCCCTGTCATCCTCCCCCCACCCAAAGATCGATTTTTTCAGCCTTCATATGGCTTGCTTGGCTTTAGCTAGGACTCGTTCTTGAGGTTATTTGACCATCTGAAGACGTTGGTCGAGCCGGATTTCTCTCTAAAAATCATGTTCCAAAGTTGGCCACCAAGGCCATGCTCCCCCACCCAAAGATCGATTTTTCTAGACTTCATATGACTAGCCTGTCCTTCAGAAGCATTTTTCCTGGGGGTTATTGAGCCCTCTGAACACGATGGTCATGCCAGAATTGCCTGGAAAAATCGTGTTCCTGAGATATACAGGGTCCTCCCCCTCCTCCTGACCTCCTATATGTCACTATCCCGGTGTTCTGCCTCAATACCGATACTGAAAACATCTCTCCTAGGGTATTTGAGGCCTCTGAATCGATTGGGAATGGTCCCAGACCCTCCGGAGGTCGGCGTTCATGTGATATGGGAGGTGGGCTCAAATATCAGTATTTTGGACATATCTCCACAACCGAACCGCCGATTTTCTTAATTGTTGGCTCATATCCATCACAGAAGTACCCTCCATGATATGTACCAGCCCACCAAAAGATATTTTTTTACAAGTTTGAAACCTATTTCTGTTTTGACCCTATAAATGCCAACACCACCACCAACATAGACACCAACTGATCGATGGTAGGTCAAGAACGGCTCCCTCAGGGGACCGTCTAAAAACTCTGCACTCACCCAGAATTGGAGCGGGGCGCACGTTAGTGACGTTTATGGTCGATGTCACCCCATCTGGTCTCCCTCGCCCAGCTGCGACTTCCTGGATCCAGAAGGCATCGATAACGAAAGCAATGAACCCCATGGTGAGTGCTGTCTTACCCACGCCGACCTCGTCAGCGATCAGCATCCCTGGCACCTCCTCATCCGACTTGGAAGCAGACCAGATCTTGTCGACCATCGCAGCGACACCAACCCGTTGATGCCACAGGAGGGCCAACGGCTCCATGTCCTCGTTGCCTTCCACGAATTTCGACGTCGACGCCGCATCCCACGCGCACAACCCAGTTTTCGAGTGAAACTCGGCAAAAAGTACGGGCTTGCCACCCGGGAACTGCAGCAGGTGATTAAGTTTGTCGTTATCCATCTCTCGCCAACCATCCACGCCGAGGTCTTCAGAAGCGTCGTTCCAGGCAGCTTTCCCGCTGTCTTCTATGTCTTCCTCGTCTTGTGGGGCCTCTAACTGACCGGGTTCAGTTTCAAACATCTGAACATACAGCGCCCAGATCTCCTCCACGTCACCGGCGGCAACGAGAGAGCCCGACTTAACCTTGCGCGCACGCTGAGCACCACGTTTGCCTGGTAACGACGGTGAGTACACATGAAAACGGCTCCCTAAGGGGACCGCGCTACGCACGGCCAGGTGTGTTGTCCGTTTTCACCGTCACCTTCTCCTTTGGCACTTGCCTAACCTTTGCTACCGCAACCACGACGACCTCTTTCAAGAACTCCTCGTATTCCCCCAGTTGATCTTGTTCCTCGGGGAACCACCCGACTGCCATGCTGAGCGCCTTGACGGCCTTCGTCGCCTCACGCAGCTGCTTGGCAGTGACCTCATCCGCGTCCTCAATTTCTGTCCCAAGTGAGTCACTAATCATACGTGCCTATCAAGACGACTCACCTTTCACGGCTACGGACGCAGCCAGTTTTTTCATGGGCAATCCTGTCTTGGCACGCCTGTAGCGTTTGCGGTGACGCTCCCAGGCGTGATGGTTGATGGCATACCAAGCATCACGAAAATCGCCACGCGGCACCCGTTCCATTGCGTTCTCGCCAGCAATCGCGAGCAGGACGTCCTCCCTGGCGCCTTCCGCATCTGTAATGTTCGGAAACTCCTCCCCTTCCTGAAGTCCCTCGTTATTGATTAGTTGCAGCGGTGCTACTCCGCACTCATTGTACGCGTCGTCAATCGCATGACCTATGTTGTTAGATACCTTTTGTTTTGTGAACCATTTCTTCAAGGCCGAGCGTCCAGCACTCCATCCTCCCTCGCTCTTGCCTTCGAGAACCTTATAACGTTCTTCTCCGGTCTTCCTCTTACGAATCGCCTCGATCATCGCGACAATAGACGCCCTCTCGTCCTCGGTGAGATGCTTGTTGGGTTCATCGAATAATTTCTCAGTCAGCCCGTACAGCTCCTGCAGAGTCCCCGACTCCTCCGCAAAAATCCAGTCCTTACCGGACAGGAGGAGCATCAAGACGGCGCTTTGCAGATTGTGACTCATGTCTGCTCCGTCAGCGGTGCATTAGCGTTGTTGTACTCCTGGGTGAGTGCACTTACTAGTTGTTTGTTGGTTTGGTGGGTTTGTGTTTCGTTGTAGGTGTTGTTGGTTGCTCGGTGGGTGATGTGTTGTCACCTCCGGCGCAGCTACTTATAACGCGATGGATAATTACCTTGAAAATATCAAATTTTCAGGGACGTTGTGATTGTGCGCGACGTACGCTACTCGATAACTACATGGGGATGCCCCGTCAGCATCAGGGTTCAGGGTTAGTTTGTTAAAGGGTGTAGATTGCCTGATAGCAGTGGGTGAGCGCGACTCGTTTCTTTCATATCCGCAGTGTGACTGTGATTGATGTCAGTAATCGGCTCCCTGAGGGAGCTGCTGCACTGGATCTTTGCTGAGTGTTTCTCATTTTGTCCGTCCTTGCTGGCTAACTAACTGATCTCATGGGTGGATTCAGAATACTGAGATTTCATGATGGATGGGCCGACAAAACGTGTCTTCGATGTGGTGGGTTTTACTTCGTTTCTACTTTGTGACAATCGCCTGGGTACAGACTCTGTACGTGCCGATCGATATATGGTCAAATGGGGCAAAGTCGACGCGATCTGGGTGCGGCTCCCAATGGGAGCCGCGCCTGCAGATGCGCGTCTCTTGCCCCATTTGACCTTATTTCGATCGGCAACGAACGGAGTCTGTACCCAGGCGATCGTCACGAAGTGGAAACGAAGTAGAACCCACCACATCGAGGACACGTTTTGTTGGCCCATCCATCATGAAATCTCCTTATTCTGGAAGGAGTTGTACAGATTCTTAAATAATTGTATTATATATTCTAAATTACATGATGTTTTAATCGATGAGACCTGTCCCTCTCAAGTGGGTGAACGGAACCCATCACACAATGTCACATCTGACATCACACATGTGCAAGTACACTAACGCATTCTCTTAATCACCGCTGTTGAGAGGCGAGGCGCGGTTACCACTTGTCACGTGGGACAAATGTGAGGTCAATTGTCCGGTCCCCTCAGGGAGCCGGTGACAGTCCCAGTGCCAGATCTTCGCAGCGATGTTTTAGTGTGAACATATGTACATCACGTACATTCCTATTGCATCAGCACATGGCTTACACGCACTTGCCACTGTGAGTCACAGATCAGTGTAAGTAATGCAACGGTCCCCTGAGGGAGCCGTCCAGTACAGCGACTGTTTATCAGGCAAGTGTGCGTGCGGTCCCCTTAGGGAGCCGCTGTTCATCCTTGCCTGCCTCGTGCCTCATCACACTGACAACCCTAATTCGTCCTAAAAAGGAAATACTTATCTGCCTGCCGCTAATTTAGACCCTAGATTAGGGTTAGGGTCTCAAGCACTGAGCCATCCACCTGCGCAACCTACAATCATCTATCAACCCCACCCCAACGCACACGTCAAGCGACTTCGACAGCCAAGTCACAGAGTACTCCCGACGGTGACGGAAGTGGGGGCCCAACGGCAGAAGCTCCGTCGAAAGAAGCAGGCAGAGCGGATCGTTCGAAAGCACCCTTTGCAAACGGGTGTTCTTCTCCTGCTCTTTCCTCAACTCGGTAAGACATTCCAACGCCTTTTCCTCTGGACTCCCATCGTCCACCTTGTCCTTGTATCGTCCTAACACCTTCTTGAAGATCGTGATGAGGACCTCCTCCTCCGTCTCTTTATATTCATGCAACGAATTGTTGCGACTAAGGTGCGCTGCGAGTGTATCTCCTTTTGCTAATAGCAGAGCTAAATAACACGATCAGCGTGTATTCGACAACCTAATAATTCCGCTATGGCTACAGTAGCCATAGCGGATCACAGAGGTATGTACCGTGCTCCGCGATGGCTACTGGCACCATCGCGGAATAGCACATAACGCACTGTACATATACGCGATGGCTACTGTCGCCATAGCGGAGCATGGGGATATGCACCATGCTCCGCTATGGCGGCAGTCGCCATCGCGGAATGAATGAGAATAAGGACAAGACAACTTACATTGATTGTAGACCACGACGCCCCACTTCCCAATATCCTCCATCTTCCCAAGGAGCACGCCCATCTGCTCGCGTAAGTCGTCCCATTGGGTAACGTGCTCAACTGATACGTTCGTCAGCCCAGAGATCTTGTCGCGCTTCTTCTCCAGCGACGCGTACTCGTCCTTTAACATATGGTGATACTTCTTTAACGCCGCCAGACAATGCTGGCCTGACGCAATGATGATCTTGTCTTGGTCCAAGATCTCCAGTTCTCGCACCGTGTCTGGCTCACTGAAATCTGCGGAGAGCGTAAGTCCTGTTTTCAAACGCTTCATGTCAATGATTATCGGAATCGCTGATGTCTCTTTCATAGACACAATCCCAGATTGCTGGAACGACAGTATCAGCTTGTTCCGTTCGACCTCGTTCTCTGCTCGGTCGTTATAAACGCCGAACTTTAAACGCTTGGCCATCTTCAGTAAGTCGATCCATGCAACGCCAGCCTTGCATTTTCCAACTTGTGTATCCAGCTTCTGAGTAGCCTTCCCCACATCGTTCTGGGGCGTAATCGCCTCAATCGGCCTCGTATCTAAGTGCAGATGCAGGTTTGATCCGCCTGTGTCCTGATCACCAGTTAGACGCACATAACACACAACGTAAGTCTTCTTTTTCTATTTTAAAGCCTTTGATAACGTACTGCGTTGGTTTCTCCTTTCTTCGCTCTTTTTCCTCCCATCCTTCGTCGCAGATCAGTCAGTACGGCGTAGGTAGATCACTTTATCGTGGTGGTTGCGTCTGAAGGACGACATTAATTTTTTTCACCCTTTTTCCTGCTCCGTTCGCCTCATGTCCTTTTTTTCTGCCTCCGTTCGCCTCATGTTGTGCAATATCAGGTCCGCGAACACCACGTGACACACCACGTGACTCTTATATTTGACTTTGACTTTGCTCCGCGATGGCTACATTAGCCATCGCGGAATGTTGTTTATTTACTTTGTATATATATACACATGTATTGTATATGTACACATGGCTCCGCTATGGCTACAGTAGCCATCGCGGAATATTGTGTACATACACAATACATGTGTATATACTATTAGCTTTTACGCTATGTACCTCTGTGTTTACGCTATATATATGCTATATTCCGCTATGGCCACCGTTGCCAACGCTGGCTTCACTACTCGTGTATGCTTATATCAATCATATTGTATAGAATGTTGCCATGTATTAGTGTAATGTTCATATAATGTCATTTTTTGGCACATCATTGGCTCATTATATGCTTTATTCACATGTTTGGACTGTGTGGTCCGCACCAATATGTCTTAATATTTATATCACAAGTAAAATATCCTAACTTAACCACATGTTTAACCGAACCTATTTACAAGAATCATATATCATGGAACCCGTCGAGGTCGTCTGCGTTATCTTCGGCAGCGGATGAGGGATTTTTTGGGGGTGTAGCAGGTGCAGATTTGGGTGGCCTAGGCGTGACTTTGACATCAGCGAGAAGATAAATTGCCTTCTGCTTGCTAGAAGATACTTTTGAGCTGCTGGGATCAGGGATAGCATCAAACTCGTCACTAGTGATAGTGGTAAGATTGTGTTCGTTGTTGTCTGATTCGAACTTGACGGGTTTGCGGGATCCGGGAGCCAATTTGAGTTTTGCGGGTTTGATATGAGGCTGACATCTTCAAAATGATCTATCACAGTAGGACTGAGGCTTGGACATCGTTCGCACCCGATCTTCGAAATCCACTCACAGAGGATAATTATTAGCCCAGACATGAGGTTTGAAGAGCTGGTGCATATCACGAACGAGTTCAACAGTGCGCAGTTGAAGAAGCCAATTTGTGTGATAGCTGGTGTGATAGCTAGGATGATCACTCTGCGAGAGGGTGCTACGAAGCTTGGGCCAACGACATGTTAGAAAGGTTACTGGGTGACATACACGGCAAGACAACTAGCTTCACCGGCGGTTGGCCCAGAAATCTTGTAGCTAGGATGACACTAGACGTGATTGAGTGCAAAAAGGATCCGCTGGCTTCTGTATAATCAAATGCAAAGTGCGACACTGTGTGTTAGCATCGCTCTGGGGGGAAAATTGGTCATGGCAAGGGGTAAAACGGTCCCCTTGCCATGACGCAGCTGCCCAAATAGATGTCAACATCATGCAAGAAGATTGTTGAATTAATTTCATTTTCATTTTCATTTTCATTTTTCCCATATGGATGATCAGTAAGGTGCGACTTGGATAGCACGGATGGACCAATGGGAGTAACTTGTTTGCCAGTGGAATCCTAACCTGTTCAGCTCCGAACCGGAAGTGATACATATGGTGCGGCTTGGCAGCCGGCACGGACACCTATGGTTCGGGAGTAACAAGGTTACCACTGGATAACCAAACAAACGTTTGGGAGTAACTTGTTTATCCCTCTGATCTTCCTGAGTTCCTATGCCTCACCTTTTCTTCATCCCTTTTCCACTTCCCCCTTCAGCAGTGTCTACCAGCAACGTCAACGACAAAGAAAACTTGGAGCTCATGGTTGCGCTCTCATGTACCATGAGGATACCATTGATTGTGGGTGGGCTTGGGGCGAATTGGGAAAGGAAGGTCTTCGGGCGTTACAGAGTCTTAATTTTTCAAGTTCAAATGGTCAAGGTATGCTGTTATACTGTTTTCTTTATTTTTGAATCACCTATTCATAACCATGATGCGCAGGCGTCCAGTTCCAGAACCACCACGAGCGTTATTTACACCGTATTCACCCTCCGTGTCTATCACTCTTCCCCAACAAAAACCTTTACCTGCTCCCGCGCTACCTCCTCACATCACACGGGCCCAATATCATACTCTTCCAATATTTCCTCCCTCACGCCTTCTCAAAGTGCTTCGCAACAGTAATGTTCTTTCTTACGCTCTGCTCGATTTACAACTTAATGTGACGCCCGCACCAGACTCTGGATTTGACGAGTCGACTTTTTCAACGGCTTCTAATGTCTTGCACGAGATCATGACATGGTCTTCGTTGGCTGGAGTTGCGGGTACAGGCACGTTGACGCAGCCGCTTGTAGCGTGGCTTGGTGCCTTAGGAGATCCACTTCACCCTGTATTTCGCCTCCAACATCACGTCGTTAAAACCCGTACCCAGAACACCCACCCTACTCGGGCGCCTACTTTGTGCAGAAGTTCTTGCACCGCGCTTTGCACAACCCAATGGATTACAAGGATGGGAGGTGAGAGCTTTTGTCGGCCTCTAAGATGCTCATTCAATACATGCCATCAGGAAATTGAAGCCACTTTGCACTGTATCATGTCAATACAAGAAGCGGCACCGCTGGAAGACAACCCCTTCCTCGCCCGGCTGTTTGGACCTGATGTGCTTGGTCGTTTGCCGACTTCAGGTCAGGAACGCATACGTAGGACCATGCTTGGCTTGATTGGTAGGAGTATCGTACGCGACTTTTGATTGTCTTCCTAACCTTACACGTTCAGCGGCGCACTCAACATGGTTCACAACCCAACCGAAAGTACCGACATCCAGCTCAACTCCGTCTCTTCTGATGAACGCCATTTCCGACGTTGCCGCCGCTTTACCTGAGCCTACATTATGCTGCCTGCTGCAAATGCCCTTCGTAATCTGTGTGATGCTAATTGTGCTGCGCTTGCGCCTCATATTGGAGCGTTTGCGGAGCTGCATGCTGGATTGAGTGGTATCCCGGTCCGTGAGGTCCATGCACAGTCTGCATTTCCACTAACATGCAAACATGACCAGGATACGGAAAAGCGCAAGGTTCTTCGATCAATTGCGAGCGTAATACAAGCATTGTCACCTGAGGAGGAGATTTCACCCATCCAGGGAATTATCAGCCCGGTAGTCCAAAAACTTACACAAGGCCTGGACGTTTCCTCGCAGGTTCGTATTGGACTAAACATAGTTTCCTTGAGGCTGAGTTGTTTTGTCTTACGCAGCTCGTGGACGAAACTCGCATTATCACCACTCCCCAGCTGCAGACATTGTCAGGGCTGGCCAAAGGTCTCACACGCACGCAAGACTCGTTAAATTAGAGGCCTTGTGCAAAGATTATTTAAATAACTTAGATTGCGAAGCATTTCCTCGCTGGGTTTTATCGACTGCCATCCGGCGCCCTCGATGCGTTGATACAATGCGCCGCGACTTCATTGTCGCTGCAAGAGCGATATTCGCTTGTTGCAACATGTATTTCTCCGGTAGTTGTGGTTTTATACTGATGCCTTACTACTTCTCACTTGTTGATGACAGGAAACGCTCATCAGGCGGACAGCGAGTAGCGATCTGGGAGATGCAAGCACGATGCTGATTCAAGGGCATGGTCGGCCGATCCTACGAGCCATTTTGTGTGGCTTCGGGGTGTGGCGCCAAGATCCGCGACGCAGAACCTGATAGAGCTGCTTTCCATAGTGGCATCCAAGTTCCCCGCAGAGACGAGAACGTGGATGACCGATCATGTTTGCGGTAGGAATTGCTAGGCTGTGAGGAGGTCTGCAGGACGACTTTGTGCAATCAAAGGTAAGTCCGGAGGCGAAGCGGGCTTTCGTGAAAGGCGACTGTGTAGCAGACCCAGAGGTATCTGACTGGAATTTCAGGCTCAAACCTCACACTCGAAACTCTCCTCGCAAACCTCAAAACTCCAATCTGTGTCGACTCAGCTGAAGACGATGTTTTTGCCTCGTTTTGCTCCCAGATCGGCATCGAGAACGTTCGGGAGTATGAGGAGCGTCAGTTGAAAGTCGCCGAGGAGGAGAGTTAGGCGCGACTTAGATTTGATCAGCAGGTTGCCAGGCTGACGTGCCAGTGAGTTTTCTTCTTCGCGGTTTTGAGGGTGAGGGACGGACTAACATGTGTGTGCAGGTCTCAGTTTGAAGAGGAGCAATGGAAGCTGACACTTTCCTTCTCGCAGACGCGCACCTCCCCCACCAATTCCCCATGCAACCCGACCACCCCCGTCTCCCTATATGCCTCTGGCACCACCTCACCCTTTAATGTTTCGCCATGCACCATGTCCTCCACCTATGCCCGTTCCGCAATTCGTTTCAAAGCCATCCAATATTCAACCGTCATCCAGGAAAAATCACAATCACAATCACACTCAAGTTCAGTCCCATAGACATGGGAATCACCAACATTCCCATTCGACATCTGCCATGCCTCAGACCATTCGGCACACCACCTCGCAGCAGCTTCGTTTTGCGCCACCCACCTAGCCTTCAAACCATTCACTTCACTGCACAAGCAGTTCGCAAAACCTGCACTTTCTGAATCAGCCTCCAACCCATTTACTTTAACGCGCACCCAGTTGGCAAAACCTCCACCACTCACATTTTTCCCAACATCTTCGTCCGCAAACACCTCACGTAGGTCCCTCCGGTAATGGTCACCGACCGCGCGGAAACTCGGGAAGCAGCACGCACAGGTCCATCATCATTGCTCAACAGTGTCAACACCAGGTCCAGCCCTGTATCCACCAACACGTCGTGCACCATAACGGTCACGATCATTTCCAATATCCAAAGTGCTCTGGGCGGAAGAAAGCGCTCTGCGTGAGTGACATTAAATTCAATTCTTCTCAGTAATCGTCCGCTACCGTCTGGGAAAATTGGTCATGGCAAGGGGTAAAACGGTCCCCTTGCCATGACGCAGCTGCCGAAATTTTACCCCATACCTGTACCCTAGAAGAGGGTACAGGAATATATACTTGGTTGAGTTGCTCACTCTCTTCGGGGATAAAGGTGTTGCTATCCAAAACGTAGCGACATCCGACCAACATGTCAAAGTAAGTTTGTTCATACATCCCATGGAATCGACTCATACACTTATACCATCAACCTGTTTCCCTAAAGGCAAGGAACTCCCCCTCCTTCCACTCCACCCCTCTCCCTACCAGTGAAATCAAGACCACGAACTGACAACCGTCTTGGGCTATCAGAAGATTGGGGAGTGACGACAAGTCAACAACGCTCAGAGGAAGATCCGACGACAGCGTCATCTTCCATCCCTACACCTGCACCAGCCCTCGCGAAACGCCGACACGCTCTGCTCGAGCTTCTTGCCTCTGAACGTGCCTATGCAAGCGATTTGGCACTCCTCAGGGATGTGTATATGAGGTTGGCGTCTGGTGAGTCCTCCTAGCTTTTGATCTCTTTAAAACTATTCAAACCTATCTTTCATTCCAGGTTATCCTCCCTCATTCGGTTTCTCATGTACTAAACGCCCAGTCTCGGGTTCTGAAATTTCGAACCCTGGATCCAACACATCTAGCTCAAATTTGGAATCCACCAAATCAAGCTCCGGCGCATGCTCATCCTTGTCCTCACGCACAGTCAGCACCGTCTCGCATTGTGCTCTTTCTCGCAAAGGGGGATGAGGCTGTTGCTGCGAACCTCATACGAGTCGTTCTTTGCGCACCGCAGTAAGGCAAATTTGGGCCGAAAACTCTATGCAGAGGCCCTTCGCGACGCAGACAAGGTGCGGACGATATTTATGGTTTCTTCAACAGTTATGCTCATACTGGCAACCCGCAGGTTTTCGAACTCAATGCTTCATCTTAACTTGGGTACGAACTAATGCATGCGGTGCTTCATAATGCACAACGCTATGGCGAAGCAATCGAGGTCTTCAAAACCATGGCTCTTGAAGTTGGACGATGCACCCGTCGCGCATATACGAGGTAAGCTATGAACCGCTCATGTGTCAACACAAACATTATGAACACTTTCTCCACAGTTGCGTCCGCAGTATGTCAGTCCGTCTGATGTGGAGGACGCCATCCGAAGCGCCACTCTTGCTCAGTTGGCAGACGCCCCACTTCGGCTAAGTTAACACTTCCAATGGGCGTTTATGTGATACAGAGGAACAGATAAACTCCTTCACGTATCACAGATGGAATCCTGACCTCAGCGGGCGATTATTGAAACGCTGCTCGCCATGGTGGACTGGACCTTGTCACAGGAAGTCAGTCTCGCTTAGTCAACCCTTCGATCCGTTGTATCAGCTTCCTCATTGGACACGCTCCTCCGTCAATCTTGGCCTGTTGAACCGAGAGCCGCTTTGGTTCGCGAATTTCGACCATGATATCCAAGACAAGCTCCAAGCCGCTCTCTATCGCGTGCCCTCCCACGAGTTTGTCTTCCGCTCTCATCAACTGTCCGCTCGCATGTCAAAACACTCGACAGAGCTCCCAAAGAATCAGCGGAACCTCCAAGGGCTCGTCTTGCGCATGTGCCAAGAGCACCCTTTCCATGGCCTGTACCAGGTATTCTGCTTACGTCCAGAGCAACCCCAGGGCGCGCGAAGGACTTCCTCACGATTTGAAACTCAATCGTGGACAATTCTACTTTTGGCCCCGAGCTGGCGAACTTTCTCGCGCATATGAACCACGATGTTTTAGATTCGGCAGCGATGACTACCGAAGCGCACTCCGTAGTCCTCAAAGGCACAGACCCTGCACATCCTCGCCATATCACCGAACTTCTGACTGGCATCCTCCGCGCCTTTGGCGAGCCAGCTGACATCCCTCGTATTCGAAAATGTATATGTGATGATGTCTTATGCTCGAAGGACAAGCTTCCGTGGCGAAGATCGTCCCTCTGGCTTGTCATAAGGGTTGTATTGCAGACATCTCTCGAGCGCACCACCCTTGGTCGAAAGGGCTACAAGGCTTTCATGGCCTCGCTTATGGCGGACCTTGTGTCCAAAGCGCTTGAGAAGGATCTGTCGAGCGATCTGCTCTACTTCATGTCCACCCAGATTAGTCGCCGCGACTCTACTGAAGCACGTCATCTCGATTTTCTCGCGATCTAGACCTCCATCCGACGACTTTGGACGCCAGTATGCTGAAGATCTAGACGACAGCAGGATAACGAACAATCACCCATCTCCCCGAGCCCAATCCCGACAGTCGACATTCAAGGTTAGGATCAGATGTCTATAATTCATTTGTTGCGTTCATTAACATCTTGACAGGTTGCATGCGCATGAGAAGGCTCGGTCATGGCCATTCAGTCGTGTTTTTGCGTCTCCAGAAGTATCGCAGCATCTGGGACGTTAACAACAGGGGCTATGCTGAGGACATTCACGTGTCGGATATCCTTGTGTGGGCCATGATTGAAACGTGCGCGGACATACGCCGTCATGCTCCACAGTGGCTTGCATGACATGGATCATAAATCTCGCTGCCGTTCATGGTCTTCATTGTTATCCGGCAATATTTCTCCTGCTAAATTTGCCAATTCATGGCGTCAGCTAGAGTCCAATCACTTGGAAGGGCTATAGCCCCAGCTCTGATGGGTGACTCTGCCCCACATACATTTGTAGAAGAAGATCTTTTGGGGAGATTCCACAAGCTGGGGTTCGTTATTTTCCCTGATAACCGCCTGGACGAAGAGCAAGTGAGAGAAGTGGTGGATGAAGCCGAGCTCCAGCGCGAGGTTGAGAGGCCGCTGTCGGTGGTACCTGCAAACCATATAATTGACGAGGACGTCCCGTACTTCATCCGAACAGGCTGTATTCCGAAAGGATCGGGTGTGTTCACCCCAGTTTTCGACGTTCTCGCCACAACTTCGGCTGCCATCTCCAGGACGTAGCCGTGGTGGACCCATCATGTGCTTGCCTCGAAGGACTTCACTACCGTTCTGGCCGGCTTCTCAGAACAAACAGACAACTACATTCGCCCAGTCAACTGGGTTCTTTCAAGCACAGCGCCTGGTTTGCCAGTACTGGTCATCGTTAGCCCCTTCGAGGCTAACACCTTTTTACCGGAAATCGAGGCAAGTACGCAAGTTTACGTGTACATCCGGGTGGCTGGCGGGGGAGGAAATAAGTGGGATTGGCTACCAATAATTCACATCAATGTATGACTAGCTGCGAGCACAGGACAATTTAAGGATCTGGGTCTAGAGATGCTCGGGTTGATTCCTCAACCCAGTCTCTGACTCTCGTTTTCAAGTCGACTGTCCTCTGTCGCTTTTTCAGGTGTAAGACTGCACGACTGGTGAGAGTGACTCCACTCAAACCGGGTGACAATTTGCGCTTGCAACTACCTGGTAGAGGCTGATCTTTGGGTTGATCAGACTTTGGGGTATGTCCGTGTGTAGAGTGCTGTTGCGACCGCATGGCGCGTTTACTTCCGCGAGAAAGTCTCTCTATGTCCTCGTCGTCGTGGTCTCTCTTCCTCTTTCCCCTCCTTTCTAGCTCCCAAGCCCTCGCAGTCTCCTTCGTAGCTTCGAAAAGGGCCCAAGTATCGCACAACAGTGTAAGTCGTTGTGCAAGTTCCACGGACTCGCTTGTTTGTTGCGGATAATGGTCAAGTGTAATTTGTTCGATATGAGCTCTTGTGCATTTAGGACCTGCGTTTATGACCGCAAACGGAGGCGCTACGTGACATTCAAGTGACGGGAGGTTTAGATAAGGATAACTGTGATGATTCCAGCTTCCATCATCAGTTTTGTGCGAGATGAGCGGATGCTCTCTGCCGGGTAGTGGTACAAGCGTGTATCTTGTTTTAGTTTTGAGGTTCCACTGCATAATTTTTTTGCTGTAGGTTAGCGATATTGTGAGTAAAACGAAATTAAGTACCTTTGATCTGAAATAATCAATGCCGCTAGGCTCGGACCTTTTCCTCAATGTGATTGCCTCTGCGACATAGCCATGAACTTTCGCCAGCGCATTTGCATCCGGCAATAGAAACCAACGATTAGCATCAAATGCATAGTGCCAGTCGCGTGATACTGCAAATTAACATCAGTGTCAACACCGCGTGAGAGATGCAATTTGTCGCACAATAGAAAAGGTTTCTTCTGCTGTCTACATGGAATGATCCGAAATCCAAGCCAAGGCAGAATTCGTAGAGCGTCAACTGAAGAAACATCACGATTAACAATACACTTCCATAGATAATAAAATTGCCCACACGATCAGGCTTGCTCGCACGTTGAACAGCGTGTGCGATAGTGGGCGGGATGATCGCTGACTGTGTGACAAGACAGCGGCGGCCATCGTAGATGCGGCCATATAATGCATCGAGTGCTGTACGAGTCTTTGAAGAGAGGCCACCAGAGTCTGAGCGATGTGTAGGGGTTGTGAAGATGTTGGATTCCCTGGTGGATGCGCGAGTGGGGGTATAATCATCGTGACTGCTTTCTTGGAGATCTGGACTTGGGGTGAAGCGGTCATCCTTCACAGACTCAGTAGAGGAACTGAGATAGGATGATTCTGGATCCCAACCGCTAGCTAGAGAGTCTGCATAGACTGACATTAGATTGGTTTTGCTAAACAACGCCTAGGATGGTATGTAGATTATCGATATGATGTTGAAATTTCTGACGACAGCGGAAATTTGGTCATGGGAAAGTGGCAAGCCTTGGGTTCGAACGAACGATCGAACTTCGGCCCCTGCCGAGACTGATCACGGCAATTACCGCAGCAGTTGCAGCATTAATGTTATCACGCTGCCCCATTAATGATATTGGTTCCGTGGGACCATTTCATGCAAAGTACTTCTCGACAGAACAAGAGAACTTCTCTGCGCACGAATGATATCGCAGGCGTAGGTTCCAGGTCTTTATCCTTGCTATCCTCGCCACGCGTATGCATCTCCATCTCTGGAATATTGACCGGGACGTACGTCGATAATGAACAACGCCGACTCGGAAAATACCGCCATATGTGCGTCGGATCTTGCTATCAAGTAGCTAGCCTTGTGACCACGTCCCCACACGGTCTTAAGCTTCCTTGTTTCACCCCCATATGACATCAGCATCGACAACGTTTCATCCACCAGTCTCATACACTTACCTTGCCCGCTTTGACTACTGACGCTTTGACTTTTCACTTAGTTTGCCTTTAGAATATCGTCAGCTCCCTCCAACAAGTTTCTGCCGAGCCCAAAGACAGTTGCTGTACGTGTGTTTTATCAGAAATCTCTTCTCCATACCTGGACTGGTTCCTCGCCTCCTCAGATCTTAGGATGTCCCTTTACATGAGCATTTCGATACCGGCTGCACTCGCGTGACCTTAGTTTTATCACGCTACCTCACTATAGCGGTGGTCAGGTCAGTTCTCCCAATAGTCTCTTTCAAATAACTCACCCACTCACCTCCCGCTCAGCCAAAACTTGGCGTAGACAAAGGTCCTATCCACCTCGTCCAGGCAGGGCTCATCGAACAGGTCGAAGACCTCGGATGGCGTGTCGTCTTTGATGGGCACCACCAATTTGAGGATATTTCTCCCCCAACCAATGGCACCCTAGTTAATGCCGCCGATGATGCGTTCTGCACGAACAGCATGGCGTTGAATACAATGATCTTGGTCGACACTGAAGGATAAAGCAGATCTAGGGATACCGCATCCCCTTTCAGTCGCTTATGCGTAGCGACAAGCAGGCCTGCAATATCTTGCAGATTCAAAATTGTAATGAAAACATAGTCCAAGTAAAACAAAGACCGTTGATCTAAACAAATGCAGAAAAATGAAAAATGACACCCATATCACCTATCCGCCTCACACCAAGCTCACTGGGGCGAAAGTCTCCCCTTCTCGCTGTTAACAACATGCTGGAGACCGTATCCATAAGTCAACAGAGCACGGCGCGAACTAATGCGACTCACCACAACAGGAACAGGAACAGATGTGCTCCGCCTCCGCTTGAACCACGATAGAGCAAACACCCCAGCGAGCATGAATGTTGAAAAGGCAGCGAGCAGCATGTTAATGTTCTCAGCACCAGACATGATACCGAAGTAGCCGTGATTGATTCCACATGCAGATTCCCATTGTTTTTGGCTCGAGATAGCAAAGTTCTGGAAAACGTATGAGTGCGAGCTAAACACGACGTGCACGAAACTTACCTCAAGGCGATACAAGAATTCTGTTACCGCAAGGTCTCCTTTGTGACCGAAGATGGGATAAGTCTGGAAATCTTCATTGGTCCCGTTCTTGAACTTGATGCGGAGGAATTCGTGCAGTTCAGGTGGAGGTCCACGAAGAAGCTCAAATGCAAGGGCGGATGCATGGTTAGCTGGAATACTTACGGATGGCAGCGAGCTGAGGATGCTCGTTGACCATCTCCATCAGTGTAATAGCGAGATGAATGGTTGATAAGTCGTCTCAAGCAGAAGCAACCTGAGGGGGTCCTCGTCAAACGTGATGCGTTGAAGCGAGTGAAGAATGGTATGAAGGATAGTACGGCCGGCAACTAGGCAGGAGATTAGATGCAAACCAATCGAAGGAATGAAACGTACTGTTTCCAATTCCTTCAGACTGGGATGTATTAATCGCACATCTATGATATACTACGAAAGTGACCTACCTGGTTACCATCGAGAAGTGTGTAGAATGACTCACACGCCCTGCCATGCAAAGAGCTTACTGGCCTGACACTTCGAGGTAAGTATCAGGCGTTGATCCTGTGATGCCCGCTTTGACTTTACTCACCTGTCAAACAAAGTTCTTTGACTGGGATCAAGGTCACACAAGGGAAAGGTTAGAGCGGCAGTTTCAGATTAATAGTTATCTATGAAGTCCTTGCAACATTGTATGCTGGCAATGCACCAAACATGCACAAATACGGTGGCCTCAGCTCAATAAATTTGCCTTGGAACAATTGGGGAACACTAGTTGTATTTAAATGACCACTCTACTAGAACCGCCCGGTGTTGTATTCCGCCCCTTGAGTCCCCCCCCACGATGCCACAGAACGCATTCCACCTCACATAGGCCTCATTGCCTTGATGTTGCAAATGAGTTGCCCTTAGTGGTGCAAACAGCACCCCATATTTCAGCCCTGGCTGCGTCGCTCTCCCAATATGATACCGAGAGCTACTTGGATGCAACATATATGATTGAGGAGTCAGCTGCTGGTGAGGACTTGGCAGACACAGAGTCCATCACCGACACCGAGGACAGCCAAACAGAAGGGAACTTCTATGTGATTAGGGTTGGCCGTCGTCCGGGCGTGTACAGCATGAGGTACCAATTTATTTTCCATTCCAGTACTTCCTTCAGCTCAAAAACCATCCATTTAGGATGAAAGCTATGCAGCAAATAGTCAACTTCCCAGGGGCTATGGTCAAAACGTATTATACCAAGCGTGAGGCAGTAGCTGACTATAGAGGGTTCAAATGTGGCAGGGGCTTACATCTGCCGTCTATTGCACTCCATAGAATGCCACGGAAACACCTGTAGCTGGTCATTCAGTACTATATTCAGTTGACAGTCACTTCGATTAATATTGTTGCGCAGACCTATGTGACACTGCGTCCAGCCTGCGGTGCTAACAATGCAGCTATCTACAATATCATACACGTGGATACAATCTACCGTGCAGCTCACCTTATTCCTGTCTACGGCAGATGTTTTCTTCGCCGCGATATTACCCTACACAATTCATACGACACATTTCGGACTTTCTACGTGAATAAATATGCTGATCATCACTCTTTTGAGCTCGCATCATAGTCATTTTCGTCGGTTTTACACATTGTATCTAATTAACTACGTTTTCAAGCCTTGATTGTTTTTTTCCTCTTGTGTGACTTGAACGGCTTGAACCAAGTAAGTCTTTGGTCGCCTTGTCACACCTTTGTGCACATTTGCAAAGTTGCGTGAAAACTCAAGCGCAAAAAAGCCGCTGAAAGTCAAAAAAGGGATCCTGGGTTTTGCTGATGTCGCTCTCCCAATCTCACACTTTCTTGAGATTCCTTTGGATCCAATCAGCCTTACTGAAGCTCTGCCCTTCTTTGTGTGCACTAAGCCCCTCCGTCTCGCAGCTGCAGTGTTCAACCACGCTCATTTGCTATCTCCTGTTAAAGAGGGCAGGTGGCGTGGGCAGATGAAACCCGCCGGCGAGGTCGTCATGGAAGCCATTGAAAACAGCGGCAATGCCATCTTGCGCGATTACGCACTCGAGATCGCAGTCCTCTCCATGGGCGCCAAAAGCAAAGTCGGTGGCCTGAAGGAGTTCTGTGCGCTTGCTGCCCTTACCCTGACATTGGACTGTATTCTATTCGGCACCTTTTATGCTACCATGCTCGCAATTATGGTCGAGGTGAGTTGTGTGACTGGTGTTAGGGTCACAACGACCCTTTCTCTGATTGTTCTTCAGAACACTCATGGGCATTTTATTGTTTAGGTCCGGAGGATTAAAGCGGCTCGCGACATGACCAGCGAAGCTCCAACAATCTCACTACTGAACGCAAACCAAGTGCCCTCGTTCGTTCACCACCCCAAGTCCAAGACAACAGCCTTAGCCGCCAGCTTTTGGAGACCCTATTGGGTGTCAAGGGTTCTATGCTCAGACAAAAGAACAGCCCACCGCCAGAAGTTAAGGAAGAGAACCCCCTTGCACGCCTGAAGCTTCTTCTCGTACGTACCTGCAATACTTGACCTTTGCTCCTCACTGATGAAGTTCCATCGAATAGATCGTATCCTTCCTGACGCTGCACATTTTGAACTTCGCAACCACTCTCACACCCGCGACCATCTCGAGGTACCAGACTCAGACCTTGATCGACTCTGCAGTGAGCGAGTACTCGGTGGTGCACAAAGTCGACATTACGTCTCCTGCCATTGCCAGTGTGCTCGCCAACCTTGCCGCTATCGATGTAACCTTCCAGGTAGAAGACGAAGCCAACGTATCTGCTCCTGCCGATCTCCTTGTTAAGATTGCCCCGCCCCTGTATATCCGCGTCACACCACCTGGTCCAGTTCGTCCCCGTGCACTATTCACACCACCCACTCACTCGTACTTCTCCCGCTGACATTCCTCGTCAGCGCTACTGCGAAACGGGACCCAGTGGGCAAAAACCCGAAGAGAAGACTTTGGGCCGAAGCAGGACTCAGCATTCTCAATGCTGCAAGGGAAGACATTGAACGTAAGTTTTAACCTCCCTTGTTTTCTCATGCCGTTCAAGTTCATCACCTGTGTCAATACCAACACTAATTGATCTTCAGTTCCCCTCTGGACTTCCCTAGCAGACAGAGAAGAACTCATACAGCGCACAGTAAGACTTACAGCAGATCTTTTATGTGAGCTCGTCGCAGTACGTTTATTAGATGTTCACTACCTCGCATCCCATATCTCATCCTACAACATAGATATCAATTTTAGCGCTCTGAATTCGATGCCGCAGAAATACACCTCAACGCACTACTCTCCCTTACCCACGCACACGACCTATTTAACTCATATAGCGCCCGCATTACCCTCCACGCCGCACACCTCGCACATGCACTCGGAGACACCGAACGCGCAGGTGTATGCTACCGTGTCGCCAAATCCGTAGACGACAAAACCAATGCAGGAACCGGGTACGTTGGTGTCATGGGATGGGAGGGACACTTGAAGCTGTTGGGAAGGTTGTGCAGGCGGCTGTGGCTGGTGCGATGGGGGAGATTGTTGGTGCCAAGTGCGTTTATTTTTATTTTTATTTTTTCACGCTGTTGGAACAAAAAATGTATAATTGTTTGTACTAACACATTGACTTCCTGCACAGATCACACTTGAAGTTTGCTCTCTCGTTATCGACGTTAGTGGGGGAGAACCATCTCCGCGCATTGCTCCTCGCACAAGTGGGCGCACAGTACTCGCATACAGCGCCTGCACATGCTATGGAGACGTTGGCTGTGTGCGAGACGCTCGGCGCTGGGATGGGTGCGAAGCTGAAGGAAGCGGATGGTGGTAAAGGTAAAGGTAAAGGAAAGGAGAAAGAGAAAATTTCAGACGGCAATGCGGCCAAGCACGACTCAATTGGCAACGACCTACTCCGCCTCTGGGTGGGCGAACGATTCCTCGGTCTGTTTTCTCTTCCCTTCTTTTATATGGTTTTGTGCTGAAGACCAAGCGCAGATATATTCAAGCGCGCAAATAAGCCGCATCGCGTGGCGAAGCAGGAGGCGTTTAATGTGATGTATCGGGGTGCGGTGGATGGGATGGTGGGGAGGGCGAGGTGGCCTTCTATCGTGGAATTTGATCAGGATGGTGCTGATGAGGAAGACGTCAGGATGCAGAACACGGACCAGGACCAGGATGTTGAGATGTAGGTGTCTGCAACTCGTGTCGTTCGTTCGAGGAGTGGAGATGAACGGCAGGTGATGGGTGATCCATCTTGGAGTCAGAGGTTGCGGTTTCGGACTGACTGGACTAATAACCTTGCTCGAGGCACTTACTTATATTGATACTTGCACACACCGCATGCATACATACCATACACACTCAACATTCAACGCCTGATCGCATAAAGCTTACACTGCCATCATATCAGCGAAGTACTACATACTGTAACAATAACATAGGCCACATCCGTTAAAATAATGCCGGAGGTCAGCTTAGTTCCCGAGTGTCGAGCGAGTGTCTTATCGCCGAAGTCCATGGAGTCGCGCAAATATCAAAGTTTTCATTGTTCAGACACCTGCCTCAAGGACGTACATTCTGTTATGCTGTTCTAACTCATGTATATACTGTACTAATGCAAATGGACCCAAGCAATGCTTGCGACGAACTGGGGCAGTGACTGTTGAGATGCGATAATGAAACGAATCTATACTAGAATAACATGCGGCGGTGGCAAAGGTGTGAGGTCAGAGATTGTGGGCTGCAAGTCTCGCACGAAGTTGGTCGATTTCTTGGCGAAGTTGATCAATTTCGGGCTGTTGCTCCGCGAGCGCTTCATGTCGAATCTGCAAAAACCATCAGCTGGCGAAGACCATGTTTTCTGAGAATAACCAACCTGTGCTACTTCAGCTTCGCGATGGTGCTTTGTCTGCTCAACTGTCTCCAACATCTTCTGCCACTCGGTCTGATATGCAGCGCATACAGCCTCGATATCCTCAGTCGGTGATCCTAATGCGACCCCGCGATAACGAGCGCGTGCGCGATGGTTTTCACAATCTGACTCTTCATCACTAGGGAACAGCTCTTTCAAGCTGCCCCACACTACGCTCGAAAACCAATAGCATTGGTTTTCATACAAATCATATGCTGGCGCCTGGCGGTGTACCAGAGACAGGACCGTGGACACTTGAAGTGCCGAGGGCGCAGAAGATGAAGGAAAGTCGAAGGTACAGAGTCTGCTGTATGGTGCATATCTGACTTGAAGTTGTGGCGCTGCATCGCGGGGGGAACCATAAATAGATACGGAGTCATACGCGTTGGTGTCGGATGATGAGGGAGAGATTAATTCAGATGATTGTTTGAGGGAACGGCCTTGTCCTTGCACGGCACGGTCTGCAGACACTACAGCCTGAGCGGAGCAGCCATCGAGCCAATGGCTAAAATAAAACACGAGGAACTCGTGTTCGGGATGGCCAGCACACTTGCTGTACTCCATGCGTGCCAGTAGACACTTTGAGTACAGATTACCGTGGGTTTTGTCCCAAGAATCGGCCATCGAGGAACACCAACTCATAACTGACGCGCTACCGACATCAGGCCCATGTGGGCAGTGAAACCTTAAAGCTGGGAGTCCAGGAGGATGCTCTGACATGAATACACGACGGAGGGAGGCTAGGAAACGGCTAATCCAGGAGTGATTTCTTCGGTCTTGTTTTAAGGACATTATAGATTGTCAAGGGTTTGAACACGTTGCTCCAAGGAGAGGCGGATGTATATGATACAGCTGCGAGCGGGACTTGCCGCTGGGTGCCAGGGTCGTCTATGTATACATACTTGTTACAAGCCGTCGGCCTCGAGGTTATATGGTGCCATAATAAGGCCTTCCATAAGCCAATCTAGTGCCGCACGCGCGCGCGTCATTTTAGCTCATCAACTTCAGAACCGGATTCAGATAGAACAAGTAACTTTCCTTGTTCGAGTCGCGCTTTAACTTCCGGTCTCGCCTGAGTTGTCCGGTTAATACGCATCCGTCGAGGATACTTCTCAGACACAGACGATGACCGCCCGCTGAACAACCAACCAACCACGTCAAACTCATCAATGACAGCTACGACAGCTCTGCATTCGCGGACAATCCACGTATCCAGTGAAGCAATAGCTGGTTAAAACTCGGTACGTTACTCCGAGTCATGAGGTTTACCGTGATATATACTCATCCGATTTCCTATCCGTTCACAATTGACTTAGTTACTAAACTCTGTGAAACGTCCATCAAGCTCAGAGCCAAAGGCTCGTCGTGTCTTTGTGAGTGTATCTCCCTCATAATTACAGCTGATGTCTTACGTGGCTCCCAAGGAGCCGCTCACGTCCGTCACCGTCCACTTTCCCCAGCAGAGTCGATGGTTCCCTCAGAAACAAAATATACCAGTCTGCACCCACAATACCCACCTTCTCACTTCAGCTCCGATGTGAATGAGTACGACGTCGATCACCACTCGTTTCTCACCAATCCTAATCAACATTCCAAGGCAGTACAGACAGACCGCTGGCTTGGGTTGCATCCAATGGCACAGCTGACTCCGTCTCTCAGCGAGCTTGTATCGTCCTTATCTCAGCGAGCTTGTATCGCACTGCGCATTGAAGTTACTTCGCTCCCAGGCACGCCTACCGACCTCAACAGTCGTCTCTACCGCACGGCACTTGCACTCCTTGACACACTCCACCGTTATCTATGGGGAGCACTCGCCCATTACCAGAAACACGTACAAAGGTCAGTAGGCCGAAAAATATTGTGCCATGTTCCTGTCATACTCACTGCTTGCAATGCAGAAAGCGCACTCGCTCGACATTCTGCTCATTGTCGTTGGTTACATTCTCATGCACACGCCATTCATTCATTTGTTCTTCTCACCTCGTGCACTTGGTTGCAACCTCAGCGTCGCAATCTTGTCATCATCCATCCTCGCGTTTACACTCGATCTCCCCATCTCACACAACCTTGAGATTCCTTTGGATCCAATCAGTCTCACTGAAGCTCTGCCCTTCTTTGTGTGCACGGTTGGCTTCGATAAGCCCCTCAGTCTTGCGGCTGCAGTGCCCAACCACCCCTCATTTGTTATCTCCCGTTACAGAATGGGCAGACCGACGATGTCCCAGCTATCACACTTTCCGCTCATTGGAGCCCGTCCCTCCGCAATTCTGCCTGGCAACCTTATAGCCATTTGATCGCTTCCCTTACTTCTACTCCCTCCTCAACTGCCGGAAGTCAGCCCTTACCACAAACTAACCGTAGTCCCTCGCGCTCTTATGCTACGACAGTAGGCTTAAATGCCACTGCACGTCCTAAGGCAGAGAGTCTCAGTGCGACATGGAAGGGTACTAGTGGAAGTAACACCAAGAATTTCATTGGCGGCGCGTTCGTCGACAGCAAGACAAGCCGATGGCATGATGTGCTCGACCCTGTATGTCTATGCCCCATTTTACGGTGTAAGAGCGTGTATTAATGATTGTTCGGCAGTCAACCCAAACATTGCTCACACGCGTCTCTGAGACCACCATGGAGGAGTTTGACCAGGCAGTCGAAGTGTTCTCGCTCGCCAGCGTTTTGCCATAGAGTGCGTTTTTGAGTACCCACTTTACCAACACCTGACCCACTTACGCTGCATCCAGACTTCAGTATCAAATCCGTCAGAATGCAGACGCACTTGCACACAGCATCGTTCTCGAGCAGGGAAAGTCCCTTGCCGGTACGTATACCATCTCGGTCCTTTCTGTATCCTATCTGATCCGTACTCTCCAGATGCTCGCGGTGATGTCCTCCGTGGTCTTCAAGTCGTCGAGTCTGCCATCGGCATCACCTCCAACATTGTCGGCGACAAACTGGAAGCGAGAAAGCACTCAGCAAGAGCCTGCTCAACGCACAAAAAGTTCGTCTCAGCTGATTTTTGATATGAATTGACCCACCTCGCAGTGACTGACTCTAGACCACGTCTGCAGCATTCTTCGCTAGCGGACTGTCCTGCCCAATGATCTTGACTCTCTTCCTCGCCAAAGAACCCAGCCTTTTCGAGTTTCCGGCGCACACTTTCCTACAAAGGTCGCTCTGATCTAGAGCTAATGTAGCAATATAACACACAAGACCCTCGTGAGGTGAGCTTCTTGTCTCTGTTGAACACCTCACATTCTAAACGTTCGAGCCCGATAGGTGCCGCACAAATGCAAAACATGCATGGCGAAGCCCTGCCTCGCTGTACTTCGTCGAGATAGGTGTGCTGGCGGGTACGAGTTGTCTGAGCGCTGCTGGCACTGCAATATAGACAAGCGTAAGTGCGAGTGGCCTGCTGGTGCTGCTATTGAGAATGCTGATACGTTTCTCTTGCTTCGATGGAGTGCACCGTGCTAACTTGCTGACTTTGACTTGCATTCGCAGAACACCATGTGCACGTCGAGCCAAGACACACCATGCTCACTGAGGACCGGTCAATCATTCCAAAGCCATTAGGATCGATCTTGGCTCAGTCCAACATTTCTGCTTGTCAGGTAGCTGTCGATTTGCCGCACAAGAACACGGTGAAGGCCACGTCTTCGACACAGCCTGCGCCAGGCCCTTCCTCAGCTAATGTCACAAAGCAGGCGAAATATTTTATCAAGCACCAACTCCAGGAACAACACGAGGAAATTAACGAGTTGCGAAAGAAGGAGATTCGTTCTTTGCTATCCGCTGGATATTAAATAGGATATTTCTAAATGGGTTCGGTTAAATATATGGTTATGTTAGCCCCCAAACGCAAAATGTGTATGTGTTCTATAGAAATTTACTAACGCATGGACAATAAAAAGATCAACATAAATGATACATTAACCCTATATATGGCTAATATGTACATATAGGTACGAAGAAACACTCAGTGACGATGGACAACACTATGGCGCGAGGAATTGCAGAATGCAAAGCAGGCTACATTAGACCGATTCTGGAACATCAAGTAACATACCGTTTCGATGTACTCGCTGAATGTATTGATTTTTGGACTGTAGCGCACATCGACACCCCCAATCTTGGTTGACCCCCCACCGTGGGAATTGTTTGGTAGTGTATATTTTTCATATTGTATAGCGAAAAGGCAGCTCCCGTCGCTATACATTATGAGATAATGTACTGTAGTTTCTTTTCACCTTCCACTTTTTATGGTTCAACCGGCAATGTCTGAATCTGCTGTACCAGTAAGATGTCCTTTACAAGCTATGAGTTGATTGCAGCCTAACTTATTATGTTTCAGGATTTAGTCAAACTAGAATTACATATGTCAATCCATCAGCTTTCAGGGCTCGCTTTGAGCCATGCCCTTTTGCTTGAACACCAAGATCTACAAAAGCAATTCCATCTCATTCGCGAAGAATTAAGCCATGAGAAAACCCGCAGGAAATTAGCAGAGGAGGAACTAGAGAGGCAGGCAATTTTCATTCGCGTACTTCAGTTATCCACGAAGCTTGCTTGTCCGGTGAGTCAATCTTTCGCTTAATTTTTGAGCGCATGCTCATGTATTCGGTAGTGGAATATACCAGTTTAATTTTACAATCATTTCATACGCCTTATCTCAATTTCTATACTAAACTCGGAATGCATGACTGAGTGTGTATACAGTTCAACATAGGTTCTCTGGCTCCCCCCTCAAACAAAATCGCGCAATCCCTACGGCAGTATCTCGCTTCCCTCATGGCCAGACACAGCCATGGGCCACCAGTCGTCGTCGGAGTCGCACCGACAACTTCGACACCTCAGTTTGAGATGGAGCGTAACGGGTATGCGGGGCCTGGTGTCCACAAAATCCCGATAAGTCTCATTGAGGACGAGAACAATCTTGTGTTTCTGTGCGAGCTCGGCGAATTTTGAAATCAAACTTGAAGAGTAAATTGCACCTGCCTACGCGGTGTTTATGAGTGAATGCACGTCAACCGGAAAGGAACAAACTGGGTTGTTTGGAGTTGGTGCAAGTACTCGCGGAGGTGATATTGCGCTCAACACTCCGCGTGACAGCCAGAAGGGCGACGACGACAGCATGAGTAGCATCGATATATCATGTGGCTAAACTCCACCAATGTTCCCACTTTTTGGTGCAATGAATAGGAATATAGGTGTGAGGGGGACGGGTTCAGCAATAACCTTGTAGGGTCCGATGACATGCTCCAGCGTGACAAGACGATCTTTAGCGACAACAAGGGCATCCTCCTTGTTAGATGAGCACACGAAACTGCAAGTCAATTTGGATGAATAGCAATGCCCTAACGAAGGATACTGTGAGGATGCTAAAATTCAGAAAAACTCACACACCATGTTTGCTGTTAGAGTCCAAGGTGTAGTGGTCCATACTAACAAACTTGCCGAAGGCTCCATGTTCAAGACTTCTCGGAGAGCAGCGCTCGCGATTTCAGCATGCGAGTCCAACGGAAAGGTCACATAGACCGAATGCGAGACGTGTTCATCGTTATAGACAAGCTCCGCTTCAGCGAGAGCGGAATGCGACGAGGGAGAGTAATGTACTGGTCAGTAGTGCCGGTAAATAAGACCTACGTGGTATATGAAATAAATAATGAAATCGGACGACAGGAGACAAGAAAACGTGTACCTTGCTCGACCATTCCACCGTGACGATCTTCCTATAATTAGGTCAGGTGAGCGGATGTGACTTCCGCGTGAAGGTCTAGTTGATAGAACTTGCAATGGCCATCGGAGTTTAGCTTCATGCAAATCGATAACACTGTTGGTTGGTATTAATTCGGGCAAGACTCGGGGAACTTGAGAGCTGTTCTCGTCAAGAACTGCTGAACCATGAAACCTTGATGACGCTCGAGGCTTCCGGGAGATAGAGGATTATGGCAGAGCGAGTAGAAGTACTTAATAGTCTGGCCGAGTAAGACATTCATCTGACTAGTACTCACTTGGAAGCAAATGTACCGCACCAAGAGGCATTAATACCTCGAGTCCGAGGCTCATCTGAAAACTTTGTACCTCGGTCAGGAGCAAGACCCCCTCGAGCTTTGCCATACTGTTTATATTATTGGATTTGCTCGTGCATATGACAGGTACTTACAAATGCGCTCAGCCTAGGAAAGCTTAATTTCGTGATGGGTGGATTATCCGTACCCCAGGTCCAGCATCACAAGCTCTCTCACACGATGATACATGTCTCCCAGTCTCAGTCCTTCGACCCCTGAGCTCTCGGCTCTATGATCTCTCGCTAGGTTGCCCACCACATCCTCCTGTATGCCTGGGAAATGCGACTTGATCTCGGGCATCAAAGTCACTGACAAGCATTCGTTCGGGTCGAGGTCAATGCCGGTTAGCTGAGATAATTGGGGCGAGGGCAGAATAATGTTGAACGTGGTATAGAGCGCGGTCGCGCGAAAGCGGGAGGTTAGTTGGGCGTCAGTGATGTTGGCGGTTTCGCGGATGGAGTCCCAGCTGGCAAGGACCCTTAAAGCGGCGAAATGGGACAGGTAACTGGAACGTACTCGTCGTGGTTGTATATCCTACACCAAACTCTTCTGAAAGATGATTGTTGTCTAGTGTTTGGAGTATCCTTGTATGATAGTCGTCAATTGAATGGAAAAAAAGCAAATATAAATGGCATGACCTACCTCGCCGTGCGCAAGCAAGTGGAGCGCAGTGGCATAATTCTCCACGCCCTCCGCATTATCTTGCAGCGTGAGTACGTCGACCATATCCTCCACGCTGAGCGCCTTGCCCTAGAGCACCTGCCTCACAAAGATCTTCAAGATCTGCACGCGACCATTATCAGTGCCACTGGCATGTCCAAACTAAGGAGGATAGATGATTTACGCACCCCAATCAACCCGTGCCTCCGTTCTGCTCTCAGTCTCGTCGCTTTCGTCTTTATCACTGCATCCACTGGCGCATCCATGCTCTGTTTTCGCTTGCCCCGCAAACTGCTAGCAGCTTCCCGGAACCCCTCAAACATTTTCTCCTGCACCGATACGAAATCCAAGTTATCATGGAAAGCTAGACAATTGTTAGTCAAACACAAGTGAATTTCATGAGGATGACGTACGAGCTGCATGAACTTTTCCTCATTGCTACCATAGCAGACACTGATCTTCGGGACGTTGACACCCCCGACTGTGATGAATGCTGCATCGTAGTGACTGATCCAAATACAGTCGTTGTATTTGAGGGTTGGATCAACGCCTGTATGGCAGGTCATTACAGGAACCTGGACATCGCGTAGCTTCCAAATGAGCAAAGCATCGGGAATTTGTAGTGCGTCATCGGTTTTCTTCATGGTGCGATCCTTGATGGGATTCTTTGCCCATTGTAGAGAAGCATTACAGACCTGCTCGATAGATCGGACCCTCGCTGTATGTATGGGATCGCTAAGGAGCCTATTGAAGATGGCGCTCGCAGCTCCACCATGATCCGTCTGCGATGATGCGGGCTCAAATCGTGAGGAAGTCCTTCGCGCGCCCTGGGGTTGCTCTGGACGTAAGCAGAATACCTGGTACAGGCTATGGAAAGGGTGCTCTTGGCACATGCACAAGACGAGCCCTTGGAGGTTCTGCTGATTCTTTGGGAGCTCTGTCGAGGATTTTGACATGCGAGCAGACAGCTGATGGGAGAGGAAGACAAACTTGCGGGAGGGACGAGATCGAGAGCGGCTTGGAGCTAGTATTGGATGTCATGGTCATCGAAATTCGCGAACCAAAGCAGCTCTCGCTTCAACAGGCCAATATTGACGAAATTTCCGAACCCGAGACTGGGCGTTTAGTACATGAGAAACCGAATGAGGGAGGATAACCTGGAATGAAAGATGGGTTTGAATAGTTTTAAAGAGGTAAAAAAAAGTAGGACTCACCAGACGCCAACCTCATATACACATCCCTGAGGAGCGCCAAATCACCTGCATAGGCACGTTCAGAGGCAAGAAGCTCGAGCAGAGCATGTCGCGTTTCGTGAGGGCTGGTGCAGGTGTAGGGATGGAAGATGGCGCTGTCGTCAGATCTTCCTCTAAGCGTTGTTAATTTGTCGTCACTCCCCGATCTTCTAATAGCCCTAACTAAACGCTCCATGATTGGTTAGCTTCGACGCCCATAATCCCATGGAAACACATTATTGACATCAGGAAAACGTTGGCGTGCTTTTTCTGCTTTTTTCTACTTAGGAAACCACATAAGGTGGAAAAGGAGACTTAAGGAATACAAGGACACATATTCACTCGTACTAAGTAGACACAAGGAGAAAAAAGGAGAGATTTTGATTTATTTTTAAGTAAGATATTAAGGAAGCATGTCCCTAGTCGCGTGTACTAGTAGTGAAGCAAACACGAGCGCTGGTACGTGTTTTGGGATACCGGGTGATGATGGCGCCAGTACGACATGGCAGTACATCCTCCATACCTGGTGGCAAATTCATCAAAAACGGTGAGGGGGGGGAGGCATTAAAGGAAGCTCACGCGTGGTTTCGTGTTTTGGAATACTGGGTGATGATGGCGCCAATCGAGGATGGATGATCTCATGCTACTTCAAATGCGTGATGGTCGGCGTACTTGTTGATATAGTAGGCACGAAAGACATTATAGCTGTCATGAAGGGTGATGTCACGAGACACAAAGTTGGCGCCATAGACTGGGATAAGATGGGCTGCACGGACAATACAATCAATGTGAATGATTGAGATGTCCGGTGTATCGTCGTCATTGATCGATGGTACGACAACGAACATTCCTGTGTCGGGATCACGACCGTTAGCAGTGTATGAGAACCAGCGAACAGCAGCACATTGGAAATATTGCGTCCGGTACTTGAATGCAAAGAAGCGTAGTACTCTGGCGACGGCAAGTCCTTCCATACCACAGTTAAGGTTGTCGTTCATATTAATGAATACGCAGTCATTCCTGGGAGGACCCCCTCGCCAGGAGTGCGTTGCCCGTATCTGCTCGCGTCGCATGCCTCCAGTGCCACTGAGGTCACTGGGGGCATAGAATGATGCTGCTGCCGAGCTGAAAAGTGAGACTCTGCCCATGAACACTGGTGCTGTGGCAGGGTCGAATACAGGAGGTTCGGGGTCCGCAATATGAATTTGGTCATGAAGAAACTGTTGGAGCATGGTAGGGAATGTGGGAAGCTCGAGATCGAGCGCAAGTGCAGAAACGTCGCGTGCACCGCCTGACACTATTGGACATTAGAAAATAAGACTGATATGAAGACGGAAAACATACCAGGGTTTGCTGCGAGGTCTACATGAGCTTGAATGGTAGGTCCATCAATGATATCACCGGCTTCTCCCTCAACAGATTGATGTTGCGGTTCGTTCACATGTAGACGGTTGTGAAGCACTTGAGGCGCAGCTGTGACTGCATCGTCATCGTCATCATTGGTGTCATCGTCGAGGGCATGGCCTGCAAATTATGTTAGAAATGACTATGTAATAATGTATCCTTGCTTCAAGACTCACGATTTTTCAGTACGCGCAAAGCATCTGATATACATGACCCTTGAAGCATACCACGAGCCTCGAAGTCGCTTCGAGCAGCAGCTATTTTGTCGAGACGTTGATTCGTCAGAAGCATTTGTCCGAGTGCCTTGTACCGATTTGAGCGGCGCCAGGGCTCTTTGACAGCCTTGATATGTTTTGACTCTGTGATTGATGAGCAGAGGCCGTTGGGAGCTCCAAAGCGCCGGATCATGAGGCAGTAGTGCTGCATAGAATGTTGGCGGGGAAGTGAGAAGGTGAGTATAACTCCTGTCGTCTTGAACACTTCACGGTACTGGTGGAAATTGTTGAGAGCATCTTGAAGCTGCACGAGATCATCCTCCATAAGGACCTCTCGTCGGACGATGTAACAGAAGTCGAGGAATGCGCTAAACGTGCGAACTACATCTTGAGGGACATGGCCTTTGATGGCCGGCAGATAGACCTAAATACAGTAGTGTTAGCATTGGCAACCAAGCCTCGAATCATCTTTTTGCCCTTTCGATGGAGCAACCAAGCCTCGAATCATCTTTTTGCTCTTTCGGGGGAGCAACAAAGCCTCGAATCATCTTTTTGCCCTTTCGGTGGACGAGGGTGATGAAAATAAAGCCTCGAATCATCTTTTTGCCCTTTCGGTGGACGAGGGTGATGAAAATAAAGCCTCGAATCATCTTTTTGCCCTTTCGGTGGACGAGGGTGATGAAAATAAAGCTGCGAATCATCTTTTTGCCCTTTCGGTGGACGAGGGTGATGAAAATAAAGCCTCGAATCATCTTTTTGCCCTTTCGGTGGACGAGGGTGATGAAAATAAAGCCGCGAATCATCTTTTTGCCCTTTCGGTGGACGAGGGTGACGAAAATAAAACCATTCAGTGACGTACCTTCATCAGAGCCTTCGAATCATCACCTGTCCATTGATTGAATCCACGCCCTTCAGGAAAGCGGCGCAAGCCTGCGAAAGGAGCAACTGCGGCTATCCTTTTGGAGTAGTAATGAGTGGGATGTTGTGTACTCGCCTTGAGAAAAGGACCCTTACCGTTGATCGATGTCATCGAGAATTTCGGCTGCGCGTGAGGCGCCGTGTACGTGCTCTAGGTACTGCCCTACCCAAGTGACGAGATGATCCTTGAAGGTGCCTTTGATGATTTGATGTAGGAGGTCTGGGGCGAGAAGTTCATGTATATCTGCTCTGGGAAAATCATTTGTGAACGGCTTGAAAAAAGAAAGTCAAATTGATGTAACAATGACTAAAAAAAACATACCACAACGTGGTCGACAATACCGTATTCGAACCACAGCTTATTGTGATCGAGCTCTTGAACGAGTAAGTCGGTGTGCTCTCTGCACCGGAGCAAAGATGGTCCGTCACCATCAAGATTTTTGCGATGGTTCAAACACCTCAAATTAAACAGTAAGCTTATGGAATGATGTTGAAAGAGAGGACGTACTTTGGGCACCATCGTGAAACGACTCCCGAAAGTAGGACTTGCTCCGGATAATCTGCTATATATGGCCCTAACCCATATATCACCCGCCGATAGTGGCCATCAGGGCAGCGTACGATGTCGGGAACCGTCATGTTTGGCTTGAGGGACTCGAATATCCTTGCAATTGAGCAATGGAATAGTTGCCGGCGGAAATCACGAAAGTCGAGATCCTCTAGATATTCCTTTGTGCCTATAATATATATAATGCGAATGAGTAATTAAAATGATACATTAACGCGCTGACTCACTTTTTGGAATCGCCAAAAACCCCGCTAAAACAACACCGTTGCGGTGTGCACGCCGAACACTGTTGAAAATGTTGCCGATGGAAAGGTAGAGAGGGTGGTATTCAGTGTGCCCCGTGGCCACCGAAACTGTGGTTTTGTCGCTGCCAACAATGAGAGGCACGAACGTTGATCCGTGCAACTCTGGATCCTCTGTGATGGTGTCCTGTGTAGCAATGTGACGTCAGTTCGAGGAAAGGCGCTATAGTGAGGGTAAAAACAGATTTGCGTACCGCTTGGTTCCAGGCCCAATCACCAGAGAAGAAATTCTTAAAACAACGTTGATCGTTGTCGTTGTAGTCGCGGTATGGGACATATTCAATTTCGCCGTCGAAATCAGGATTAGCGAGTATATTGTGTACCAGGAGACGCGGATCACGGAACCATACTTCATATGTGCCCGTCATCCACGGAGGTACATCCTCAGCTGGTTTGATGCCGTTATAGGACATCGTAAAGCTCTCCCAGGCGAGCTCACCCAAAGGAGTCGCATCGATCGTGTCATAAAGGTCACGGTGGCCAGAAAACGGAGGGCTATCTTGATGCTTGATTAGTGTTGCTGCCCAAAGGTCGAGAAGGCTGTCAATTTGTCTTGCAGACATTTGGTTGCGTGTGAAGAGAAATTCGGCTGTCTCGAATCCAACACGACTATCGTACGGAGTCCAATCAGTGGACAATGCTTCAGTTCGTGGTGTCGGAGGTGCATTCTGATCGATGAAGTCGCCGTTGATATCGCACTTAAGTCCTACAGCACATTAGATTTGAATATGGAAATGGTACATATTTGTTACCTGTAAGGCGAGGGTGAAATGCCCGGAAAAGCGGCCCCAGCTGCACACAAGTGCCTTCTTCTGGCATAAATCCATCTCCCACATTCTCTGGAGCATCATCTACATTCGGGAGAGGCAGATCATCAAAGTGATGATGCCCAGGACTTGGAGAGCGTGGCGCGGGAGGAGCTGCTTGATGGAAGGTACTACGACTGCGCAGAGGCTTGGGGTGCATAGTGCGCATGTGCTGCGTGTGGCCTGACTTGTTCTTGAAGATCCGTTTGCAGCCGGGTATGCAACAAGGGATCCGGGTCATTTTCACGTTGGTAGGACTTGCAAGTGCGATGAGTTTGAAGCTAAGTTCAACGCGGTGACTGTGTGAACTTGCTCGTTTTGGGTCAGATTATAATGCAAGCCCTCACCCTGAATGGTCGAACTTACCTATACCAAAACTAACACCCCACATAGCTGGTTGTTTTCCTCCGCACCACTCGTTTTTTCCCTGTCGCTCATTTTTTTCCCTGTCCCTCGTTCCCTTATGTCTCGTCCGCAAACTCGTGCGGGCAATGCTGACAAGCATCCTGGACAAATTGTCCGGGATGCAAACAGAGTACGGCGGTCCAAAGAGGAAGTTGCTATTGAAAAAAAACAAAAGCAGAATGAGAAGGACGCTCGCACTGCAAAGGTAGAAAAATCACGTACAAATATTGCAACAGCTGAGGATGCTATGGCCATTGAACAAACTGTTCAAGCGGCTGGCCCTCCAAAGCTTGTTCGACCACGGGCACGCATGGTCACGAAGAACAAGCAGCCAAATCCAGTGAATGCGGCTTCTGTTGAGCCTGTTGTCACATGTGAGTCATGATTCAGCGCTTGATTGATAACGCACCTATTGGTTGATGCTTGTATAGCGGCGCAACCAAATTCAGCTGCAGAAGATGTTCAACCAGTCAAAAGGAAACACGCAGGCCTGAAGCTTACCTTTAGGGAAAGTGTTGCTGCCAACCGCAAGATCACTAATGGCGGAGTCACAGTTTCTGTCAGTGACATGAGTAACACACGTGTTGGAAGCACGAAAGTTGGCGATGGGAAAATCACACCGTCGTAAGTTCCTTTTGGACTACAATGTTGATTCTTTCAGAACTCACCCTTTACTATTTTGATTGGATATGTGCAATCCAAACCAGCACCAAGCACAAGCGACTGAGTGATCCGGACTCCGAACTTGAAGGTCCCATCGCAGACTGGGTGGACAAAATTGCGTCCCGACCTCAGTTGAAGCCATCTGCACCACCTAGTGCCCGACCCTCCAAGACATCACACATCGCAGATGTGGACTACGACGATCCACCTGAAGAGTTTGATGAGCAGCCAAGAAAGCGGGGTGCAAAGGTAAGTAGGAACTTCGAAGTTTTGAATACATACTCACATAAGTCAGGGCATTGTGCAGCTGATTGAGAAACGAAAAGACGCTGCGAGAGGCAAAAAGCGGGCAACCTCTGTGATAGAAGAACCGGAGGATATTGCATTCCTTGCTGACACGGAAGATGAGGTTGAGATTCTTGATGACCCACAGGCCGCCGAAGACGAGGACTCACAGGCCCCCGAAGACGAGGATCCACAGGCCCCCAGAGACGAGGACACACAGGCCGTCAAAGATGAGGACCTGTATCAGCAGCGCAAGGACGTTGGAGGGATCACTGTGGGTGAAGATGATATGATGGTGGATGATGGCGAAAATGCTCACATGGAGGCTGAGACGATCCGAGTCAAGGCCGAGAGTCGGGTTACCAGTTTGGTGAGTTGATTCGTGTTATTGAATCATGATCACAAGTACCTGAAAGAAGATAACAGATGTCAGTGGATATATCGGACAAGAAAACGGTCATGAATGCAAGGTCAGAAAACAGTCGCGGAAAAATCAAGAAAGGAAAGCCCAACAATGCGGACCTACCCAGTGGAATATACGAGCACTGGCGGGCCAAATTTGTTCCTTGTTTGATGTACTGGGTAGGTAATAGCGACCACCCATGGACCATCACTGAGGTGGAACTTGGGAATGTCCTCGAAGACATATATAACGCAGTGCGATCACGCGAACAGGGACCTGCTGATTTTGATATCGATGGTCGCGCATTTTATGTGGTGTGCATTCCCGTATATTGTAGATATATCAGCTAACTCACAAGTCTACAGGCGAGTCAAAAGATCCACGAGTGGCGAGCTGGATTTGGCTCGGCTGCTGTCACCGTCTTAATGACATTTTTGACATCAATGCCTGAGTACAACACCCAGGCGGCACGCAAGGAATACGCCGAGTATCAACTTGAGGACCTCCGTTTCATCTATGAAGATCCCGATAATGAAGAGCAACCAGGGGCATTTCTGTCAGAGTTTATCTTGCGCATTTTTGCTGCGCACCTCGCCGCGATTGCTGGGAAAGTAAGAGTGGATGCACTAGTTGAGTTTGGGGAACCTGGATATCAGACCGCACTCGCACTGACAGCCGCAGCAGTAAGTCCCTTGTTTTCTTCGAGGAAACATATTGATTTGTTTCTGTAGGCTGAACGTGCTCTTACCTTGGTCCGAGATGGGCTCGTAATCGAGAACGTTACATCTGACGACAAGAAAACTTACAAGATCATGCTAACCCTTAACGAAGCGACCAACAAGATGAGTACAACCGGGACAGCATTCTCCTGTGGAAATTGGGAGACAGACACCCTCGCGTACATGGACAGCGTCAAGGCACTCCCTCATTCACGCATCCAGGAGATACTTACACGTGGAGAAGTGTTCATGAAATCCACACGTCGCAAAGGTCGAGATGGTTCTGGTACCAGCGGCTCCACGGCACCAGCCAACAAACGTGCCCGCCTTCGCATTTGTAATGTTTTTTTTACCCTCCTCTCTTTTTCAATCACTGATGCTTTTGATAGGACACGTCTGTAATGTTCATTTACCCCGTCATTTTTTTCAACCGCTGATATTTATTCAACAGGACTCATCATCCCTGCCGGTACAAATTCAGCTCGTTCAATATTGACACCGGCTGCTCAGCCCATCACGTATACCCGTCAATTTCCCCTCGACACGCTTCTAGTATTCGTTATTTCATACAGCCACTACTGCATACCCCTCGCTTGGACTTTGCTTTGCCTTAGTTTCGGCTCCTGCACCTACTTTACTTTGCCTTAGTTTCAGCTCCTGGACTGATCATTACTGCGCCTTAATACTCTTTGACCGCCTTGTTTATGTCCTTTTCTCACCTAAAATCATGAGACTCCTGATTCTAAGGAGATGGACCTTCTTAAAGTTCCTTATTTTGAGCAACCAAATTGTTTTCACATTTCCGCATAAAAGGCAAGAAAAGGCAAAAAAAGGCATTTTAAGAATGATTAAAGCACACCAACGTTTTCCTGATGGAGGGTGTACCACGAATGCCGAAGGCAGCAGCGTATTGTGAAGTACTGAGAGAATACGTCAATGCAACCATCCCAGCGCCAAGTATGAGCACATGCTTCTTCCTCAGCGATGTCTCAGCTACTCCTGCCTGGCGAGAATCTGCTGAAGCCGCATCAGCTCACAAGGTACCAGCAATCCTAGATAAAACATACATCCTTCCGCGCCTCCCTTCGCAGCGGAGGAATAGATGTGACATCCTTGAACACATGTAGTGTATGCAGTAACGCGTGTATGCTGGCCTGGCTCTCTGCTGTAGTGAGGAGCACGATTCCACGGAAGTTAGAAGGTGCGAGCCGTGCGTTGGAGCTGTATTGCATGAGGAATAGCTCTGTTATATGCTGCTGATGGAAGGAGTCCGCGTGTTCCACCTCTGCAGCGCAAACTTTGTCGAAGTTATCAAAGCCGAGTACGGAGGGGCTGTGCCACGGACCCACGGTGCTATTACAAAGAGGTGGTGGAAGAAATGCACTGAAAGTTTGAGCGGGCTTGGGTGCGAGCGAGGAGAAGTCGACGTAATGTATGGCTGGTACAATACAGCCTGCTTGAGGTCTTGAGTAGACGTCAAGATTCTGTACTATCGACATGGTGTCATGGGTGCGCAGACCATACCGCGCGCCTGAGCTGCTGTTTGGGCCTAGGAATTATGATGCATTCGCGATTGATTCTTGGAGCCTTGGAGCAACTTTCGCAGAATTCTTCACTTCCGTTCGTCTCTTTAACCCGCTTGACGACGAAGGCTTCGACTTTGGGGGCGATGAGCAGTCTGACTCAGGTGACGAAAGCCCGGCGAAGCCAGCCGAGCCATTCGTTATACCAAAGGGACTTCGCGTCGGAGACCCTTCCAATAGGTGGGCCAGAGATTCGCTATTTGATTCCACACGTGGAGAGATCGGTTTGGCATGGAGTATTTTCAAGACACGAGGTTCGCCAAATGAGACAACTTGGCCAGTGAGTGTCATTGGATTTGTTACTACGATCTTCCTCTCTGACTTCGACAAGTCCTTTTTGAGCTTACCGGACGCAAACAAGTTGTCCTTTATAGATGCGCAGCCTGTTGATCTCCCCTCTATCCTACCCAATCTTCCTTCATCCGCACAGCAGCACGAGGTCGACACGAAAACTCACATGCCCCCAGAGACGATGTTACCAACTCCTGTTGATCTGATCACCGATTCCTTGTATATGAACCGTCTCAGCGTCTCCGCCCTTCCAAAGCATTGACTCACCCCTGGTTCATATCCGAACCACCTTTAATTCTGCCAGCTGACTTCCCTACTTCAAGTGCTCATGGCGAGGCTTCAATATGTCTAGGCGGGGGCGGAAAGTCTCTGGGAGAATGGTTATCAGAGGTTCATCCCCAGTGGCGCAATTTGAAGGGATGAGTTGAACGAGGGATACGATAGCATCATTTATTACACAATGCAATTTCATGCTCTAAAGCCCTCCGCCTTTCAAAAGTCAAACTCATGTGGGACGATGATGATCCGGAGTGCAATCACATTGCTAGATGACAACTAACCTAGGAAGATATTGAAGAATCTGACTTCAAGGTGTATATCGCATCCCCATCATCTGAATCCGATAACGATCCAGAGCCCGTGTCAAAGGAGAGGAGCCCGAGGGAAGAGATGACGATGGAAGCATACCAAAGGAAGATAAGGGAGAAGCATAAGAAGAGAAAGGAAGAGGCCAAAGCGAAGGTTCCGACAGTCGCGAGCCATAAAGCGATACACAAAAGGTACTGAAATCACTCCGATACAGCATTTGTCACGTTCCATCAATAATCGGACAGAGGGAGGACTTTTCCTGCATGGGATCAGCGCTGACAAACCATAGAAGGAGGACATTCAAACATACCAATATTCGCATATGGAGGACTTCTCTTGCGGCGTCCGAGCAGATCGATATCACCACTATCAAAGAACGAATACCCGGCTAAGAATACAAGTATCAGTAAGCTTACGAAAAGCTGCGCATAACCAAATGACTCCTTGTAGTCGCTCCCCGATTCTTCTGATCCGTAACCGTGGCCGTTAATAATCGGCCGACCAGTCTTGGAGTCGTGGAGGATGCCAGCGTGATCAACAAATGGGGCAGGGCGTTCATTTGCGGAGCGATGGAGCTGGATTAAGATCTTCTGAACCTCTAACAGATATCCTTGGAGCGTATCCAGGAATCTACGCGTCTGTAGATGCTTTGATGAAGCAATGCTGTGAGCGCATTCGTCAGCATCAATTGTACGACAATGAAAATTGTGGCATACACGCTTATCCCGTTCTCTTTGATGATATACCCAATGCCATACCGGTCAGCCACAACAGGCCCGAATCCGAAAAGGCGCAACGCGGGGTTTCCGCAGTTTGAGGTGTACAAGATAGAGGTACTGAGTAGATTCCAGCCCGGGTCAGCGAAGATTGACGGGAGGGCATTCTTCTGAGTACCGCCGTTCAGGATTGGATCGTCAGGAGATGGATCGAGGTTTCCTGTTACCTGGCGCTGATGCAAGCAGTATAATGCATACAAGTGTCTACAAGACGCATAAGTACTGAAATCAAGTTAAAACAGGAGAACCGACCGGTCTTGGCCAATCCCTCGCTACACTCCTTCGTAAGCTTTACGCGTCGCTCGCAGGCCTTGCACAATTTGCGGATCTTCTCGTCAGGTAAACACTCTGAGAAAAATGCCTACATAGACAAACCAGTCAGAAAGAAGGACCGGATGATCATACGGGCGCTTACATTGGTGAATTCGACGCTCTCCGGTTGCACTGTCCGGATCGCTTCAGTCCTCCTATGAAGGAAGGCCTTCGTCATCGCAGGTTCATAAGTGCATTCCGTTCTCCCTGTCGTATCGTCAGCGTAGTTTTCAGAATCTGAAAAGCACATCCTGACCATAAAGTCCCAAGTATGCCGCCTGAAAAGCCATCTGCACGAAGGCATCAGGGCTGAAACCATGGCTCGTGATGAAATTCTTTCCATAGCCCTTGAACTCGAACGCCTGACAATCATTCTGACATATAAGGTCACTCAACCGCGTCTCAGCATACCAAATGCCGACTCGAATTGAGGGAGTCAGGGTCCACATGAGTTTAGCAGGCGAGGTATCATATGAGAGGATATCAATGATTTGGTGTCTGTGCCGCTGGGTATCGACTTGGGAGGCCTGTATGATTTGGCGTGTGGTGAAAGGGGTGCATGGAACAGTGTGGGTGCAGAGGGATTAATTGAGCGTGCAAGCAGCATTAGGCCTTCAGTGAAGACATCTGCGGCAAACCTGATGGTAATATGAGCATATAGGAAAACGAGTTTGAGGGCGACGGGGACGTACCTCAGAACCGTGTGGCCGTCAACGCCGGTGTGTTCAAAATTGATACCGGCGGCACCATCCGCACACACAATGATTTGTAGCTTGGATCGAATAACGAATAAGACCGATTATCGACAATCTTCGTGAAGAGTGACTCACTTTGTCATACCACCGGTTGGTGCACGTGCCAACCTGCACGCCCTCCTGCAGGTCATAAGTTCCGCAAAGGAAATTGCTGCATAGAGCAGCAAGGTCTTCTCCCTTTTCGCTGTCGCGAGCGCGCACGCCGACGCCATCGCGGCCTGGGGCTGCATCATCCAGGCAGACCACCAACAAGGCATCATCAACCAGGCGCAAGCAAGCTGCATTGGTCTTGTCCTGGGCGAGTTCATGTCGAAGGGAAGACCGAGTCTTTCGATTCTCAGTAGTGAGAACGCCAATAGCCATGCGAGCAACCTTCTCACAAGCATTTTGCAGCTGCGCTAGCCGGACGGATGAAGTTCAAAATCTTAGATTCGGAGGTAATTGTGCGAGACATACCTCCGCCGTGGGGTAGGATCATTCCTGCCGGCGGTGGTGTTAGAGAGGGCTGTGAAAGGCAAATGAAATCACATGAAACGTACTCGAGGACAAAGAATGGGTTGAGAGCGAGCACTACAGGATCACTGTGCGAGAGATAACTTTCATACCTGTATGATATACCCATGATGAGAAGAAGTGCCTTCGGGCGAAATAAGAGAAACTCACCAAAAGTCCTGGATGCAGCTGCGAAAGGGGAAGATGCAGAAAGCCATGATGAAAAAGCAATACGATCAACGATGGACGAAACTCACCTCGCCTTCTCTTGAGCCCACTCATTCAATCTCTCCTGCAGAGCGGGACCTTCGCCATCTAAGAAAGTTCGAACAGCATGCTGAGTGGTAGCGTGTTCCTTATCATCCTGGAGACCTCGAAGAGCGGTTAAGTAGCGCTTGCAAGTGTCATCGAGAGATGGAACTGGTAGCTTCGACAGGGTATGCTGGTTCGCAAATGTGCATCCAGGGGGCGGAGTAATTGGGGGGAAGGTTGTTGTTTGACTTGCCATCATAATGACGGTGGCAGAGAGAGAGAAGGAAAGGGGAGAGTACGCCGTATACACCGGGTGCTAAGTCTTTTGAGGGCTTCTCGCAGTTTCTGGAGTGAGCATGACAAATGAGGCTTTGATTTGAAAGTGCGGAGCTAGGGAAGACCCCATGCATGGTTGTATCTCTCCATCAGCGCAGCTCTGACATGAATGTTACCACTGATCAGAATTTCGGCTCTCTGTACAAGACTCGAATCAATCTACAGCGGCCATTCACTGAGATTCAACTTCAGTCTCACGTGTGCGCTCAAACTCCATCTCATACATATCCGGGTACCTCAGCGCTTGAGCGACTACCAGGATAATACAAGGTACCGGGTTTTCAACAACACTGACTGGGTACGGATCGTTCTGAACCGTTCTGGCCGAATATGCTGCGGCAAAATTACCTCTAATCTATCCATTGCTGCGGCGACAAGTGGCCCATCCGTAACTATAAGCTAATTGGGACTACTCTGCTTTCAAACCAAGTTCGCACTCACACAGTCGCCACTTGTTTTACCATGTCATCACTCACATTCGCCACCGAAAACCTAATCCAGCGCTCCCAGTCCGTCTTCGATTGACCAAGTGACTCAAGGTCAGACCCGACGCTATCATCACAGAAGAACTGCATGGGAAGGGTCAGGACGCCAAGTTCTTCCGCGAGCCCTGGCATAACGTGATTGCAGGGATCCCAATAAAAGGGCGCTTTACAAAGGCAAAATAACCGCCTTGGGAACCGATCGTCCAGCCAGGAGGGAGATACATGCGGAAGATATTGTGGCGTATTTTAAGCGCATCAGCAAAAGTGCCCAAACCTGACGAGGCCTTGGAAGGCCTAACAAGACCATACACGACCTTTTGAATATTGGAAGGCCTGCGATACCTTGCGAGGAAATAGCCCCGTCTTGGATGGCCTTCTTAGAGTGCATCTAGAATAGCTTTTCGAGGATGTACGAGGTAGGTTGACCTTGCGAGGGTGCTAAGGCTGTGGAAGCTTGCAAGGGTATACTAGGCCTTACGAGATCACGCGTGTTAAGTGTGCTTTGAAAGGCCTTGAGAGGCAATGCATTATTGTACAGTACTAAAATACATCATTTGTGCGAAGTCGGAGTCACAGTAAAGTCCAGAGCGTGATCGATGGCAGCGGTCAACAAGCAGCGAAAACGAGGAATAGAGAATGAAACAGCAAGAAAGTTTATGGTCCTAGTAACCATTCTTGCGTCGACTGGAAGTTCTTTGTGGGGCGTCCGGAGCTGTAGTAGTTTTCTTCCTTTTTTGCTTTGAGGGCTGAGCGAGGGGTGGTGGAGTGGAGTTGTTGTCGTTGTCAGTCAGATCTGACAGTGGGGATGAGGTGCGTGGAGGTGCTGGTGCGGTTGCTGGCCGGGACTCCTAATCATGACATTAACAGACTGAAAAAAATAGACCTAGTGACATACCCCAATCATAGTACCCGACTGCTGCTCAGTCATGAGCTCACCTAATGAATCCTCACGCTCATTGTGAGCAGTATGACGAGGTTTCGGCTTGGGTTTCGGCTTGATACGTGGAGGCTGGTCCTCGTCATCGTGGTGGATAGAGGAACTCGCAGGACGGTATTGCTCGCTTGGCCGAGGTCGTTGATCCTCTCTATCAGAATCTGCAGGGCTATGGCCTGCCCGTGTATTGTGGCCAGCAACCTCAGTGGAGTACCGAGGCTTGAACTTTGGTGGCAATGGGATGTGGGGGTTAGACTGGAGCCGTTCCTGAGCATCGAATTCTGAGCGGTAAGTTGGTTTTCGAGCTGGTACCAGTTTGTCTTCGTCGTCGTCCGAAAAGATTACACCACGACGGTGCTGGGGCATGGACCGGTTAGGCAGTGGCCGCTGTTGCCCATCCAGTCGAGGGTGGGTTTGTTTCGGTGGTGTCGCTGCAACCTCTTCGTCGTCGTCGTAAGCTGAAGCATGGCGCCGAGTGTTGCCCTTTTGAGGATGTGGTGAGTCGAGGTCCTCGTTTGCTTGTCGAATTCGTTTGGGCGGATGCGGGATATCCTCTTCGTTGTGGTGCTCTGCAGGGCGGGTGCGCTTGCTACTTGTTGAGGGCTCTTGAAGCTCGTTAGGGTGGCCTGGACGTGGCGGTGCTGAGAATTGGACATCAGTAGCAGTATTGTATATTTATTCATCACGTACCATTTGATTTAGCTAATGCAGAACGGCGTGCAGCTCTCTGAGCACGAATTTGTGCGATGTCGTCCTCACTTTCCTTTCGCATCAGCTTGACCGAGTGCGAGTTGTCCTTAGTTGGTTTGAGGTGCCTGCAAATGATTAGCACTGAACTGACCATGCAGCAAAACATACCTGTTCCACCATGCGAGGGTGTCTTTGACCCATGGATCATCGTCGTCGTCTAGCATTTCAATGATGGCCCAGAGGAGCTCATCCAAGTCCATGTCGCCAATACACCGTGTCCAGTGCTGAGCGCTACTGATCGTAAAGTATGTCTATGGGTTCATGAGGGGGGTATCGATACAAATAGCAAAAGAGGTAAACTTACAATAATGTGAACATATGCGATGATGTATTTGTTAACGGCCGTCAGTCCCCATGCGCGATTTTTGGATGGCTTCGCAGAGTTGCGAACATTCGACGAGTCATTTGTGACAGAGGACGGTCCAATAAAAAGGTGTTTATAAAACTATATGGTAACCACACTATAAATTGAAGACAGTATGGAAGATGAGGACATACCCTCAGAACGATGTGGTTTCGAAACAGGCCATGTGTCTTCTCAGCGGCATCGTAAACACCATGTTCATAAAAGAATGTTGGCCAGTTGTGTGCCGTCATGGTGATTTCGCCAGCTTGCAAGGCAGCCATAGCTCTGTACATAGTGACATCAGCTCAAAGAATCAAAAGTAAGAAATGCATACGAATCAGGGTCCTCGTCAAACCAAACCAATTTCTTCCGAGGGCAAAGCAAACGGGCCAACTGCGGGTGATTGAGCCCGCGCATTGACTTGTCCTCGACTTCTGGAATTGGCGGGTCAAGAGCATCGGCCTTACTATACATATTCAGGCCAATGTATTGCAGGCCCTTGTGCTTGATGGAGCTCAGATCTGCAGATCTGCCTTCACTCATGCCCCTCGTTACCTACCATGCAAAGATAAATTATCTAGCTGAAAACAGGCGCATATATGCGCATATACTTACCATTTGAATGATCACATTAAGTTTTTTGCTCGATATGGTGTCAAGCTCGTTCTCGAGACCAGGAATATACTCAATGACGCCATTGTACAGTAACAAATGGCGATCCGTGAGGTCTTCAGGTCTTTAGCAAGTCAGATACATGTGAGATAGATAAATCAATGAAGCACGTACTGTTCGATGTCACGCTTACCACCTCGGTCAAATAGAAGACCAGTCTTGAAGGCCGCACATGGGACTCCGAATGTATCCAGAAGGCTCGAAGCCTTCCTCCCTGCATTTCAGTATAGTTCTGAGTCGTCTGGTTTTGGATCCTCACGTTTCCTGCTTCCAATGGTCAAAATTTGTATGGTACAGATCAAATAACACTACCTCGTTACGTTCTTGCGGGAGCTTGATGAAATAGAATTGATAAGGTTGTCGGTGCTGGTGTCACTGGAGGAATTTTTGTGCTTGCGTTTGCTAGGCCTTGATGGTTCTGGTGACCGTGACCGTTTGTTCTTGCGTTTTGCAAGTTTCACAGGCTCTGGAGAGGATCCAACGGAAGAAACGGTAGTGCTACGTACATATATTGAATGCGAATCAAGGGGATCAGAGGAGCTTGACGATGTGCCAGGATGACGGCGCGAAGACATGATGGTGTAGGATTAAGGGGTAAAAATGTCTTATTGACGTGTTGTTTGTTGACCGGCATTTGCCAGTCGTGCGCACAATTTTATGTTGATATGTCACGTGACTGTACGATTTCGTATGACCGGCCAAAATTCAACTTCATTTACATCTATGTACAAATGTACAACTTGTTCAGCTCCGGACTGGAGGCAATACATATAGTGCGGCTTGGAAGCCGGCACGGATGTCAATGGTCCGGGAGTAACAAGTTGTACTAGTACAGTACCAGAACCATCGAAATACCCGCACTCTGCCAGATGGTACTCTCACATCAAGTCTTGCAACGGCTTTTGCACAGCGGCGCTGTGGCCAATGCTGATACTCGACTCCCACTTTGGCTGAGACCCTTTGCTGGGCGGATCTGAGCGAGATCCGGCGCCCTCACCAAGAAAGATCTGAGCGAGATCTGGGGTGCCCGCTAGCCATTGGAGCGATGTGGAGGCGCGCGTCGTGCGCCCGCCGTACAATTTCAGTCTCGCATAACGTTGGCGTACCACTTTCGCCCTACTCACAGGTTCTCCCGCTAATTCTACTCGGTCATCTTTCGAACCTTGCGTGGGCCCGCCTTCAAGGCTACATTCAAACTTCAAGACAACAAAGCGGCGACTCTGAAATCCCACCAGACGGCCACGTCGAACACCTCGCTGTACGCGAAGCAGCAGGCGTCGTCAGACATATGTCACGCTCATTATGCTCATTGCTATGTCCTTTGGTGAGTGATTCACTCCTTACTCGTGCACATCTACTAACACATCGCAGAGCTGTCCTTCCCACCTGTTCGTGGTGTCCACCTTTCCCTCACGTTAAAGACTGCTGTTGTACATGCCTGCGACAATCAGGACGGTGCACTGGTTGATGTGAGTGACGCTGGTCTCTGACGTTGGCTTTGCTGATGGAACCCCCACTGTAGTCCCTCGTAGACTGTGAAATTGCTCGAGAGACTGATGCGGGCCCCGCACGACTTGCCAGATACATGTCCAGCGGGACGGACTCTCACCTGAACGATGCTGTAGAGCATTTTCAGCTGGTTCTGGACCAGCGTCCGGTCGGCCATCCTGACCGCGCAGCAGCTCTCACCAACCTTGCGTGGGTCCGCCTTCAAGCTTATATTCAAAAAGATCATCAAGACATCGACAGGGAGGACACCGCCGTCTGCATTCAGCATCCAATGAAGGCATCCACCTTCAACAAAACATGCTCGAACTCTGTCCTCCGGGTCATCAACACTGTCCCCGCGCCCTCGACAATCTTGGATATGCCGTTTGGGTACGCTTTGACCAGAATGGCAGCATTGATGATATAGAAGGGAGCCGTTGTCGTTTTGCAGCGTGCTGGCGTGGCATTATCCCACGACACTCGCATGGATGATGAGCTCGAGTCTGACTGCGCATGAAGAGCACGAGCCTAGGCCTTGTCGGCACGCGAGTTATGTGCTTCAGTGGTCTTGTATTATACACTCCTGCACATGTAAATTACCTTAATAGAGCTGATTTTATGAGCTATCTTGTCATGCACCATCATCAATTACAAGTCGGCAAAGCTATCCTCCCCGACCTCATTGATCACATCCTCCCCATCTTCAGGACCAAAGCCATCAATCCCATTAGTTTCTTCATCTGCACCATCCTCATCAAGGACTTGATCGAGGTCGGAGTATCCGTATTCGTCCATCTCGTCGGCAACAGTGTCATCTACCATCGCTTCAAAGGGAGCTGGAACTTCATTCCCATCCTCGTCGCCTATGCTGTCTGTCTCCTTGCTATCATCTGTTTCCTCCTCACTATCATTGCCACTCCCATCGTCTCCATCCTCATCCATATCCTCGTCTTCTTCAGAACCCTCATCAAATTCTGATCCCCGGCGCTCTTTCTCTCTTTGGAAGGGGATCCTATCCAACTCATCACGATCATCAATCAGGCATGACGTCTCTCTTCGTGTGGATTTGTGCCCCACACCTCCCCCAAGGAACCGCATGAATGTGTCTCGGTCGACGAACCTGGTAATTTATCAGATTTGATTTATGTTGTTAGTGGGAAATAACTGACATGTTGACGCAGTACCAGTCCCAATCCTTGTCGTTGTCAGCTGCTTGACGGGCAATGGACGGTCCAAGTAAATGCTGTGTAAGTTTGTACCGAAATGCTGGGATAATGTGAACACCTCGAATAACCAGGTCAGGATCAAGGAACCCAAAGGCTGATTCATCCTCCGCATCGTAAAATCCAACTCGTGGCAGTCGTTTTGCGGCCCAACCAGAGGGCGCAGTGACATCGCGGGCAAACCAGCGGACCCACAAAAAGTCAAAGCGCTTTATAGAGGGATGTGCACCTGGTCTGGTGTAGCGGATATTGGCATGAAAGATTCCAATAACTCGCGCATACCAGTATGGATGGGACTCTTCATCGTCGCGGGCAAGAACCATGATATCTGCATGTGTGCGGGGATTAAGGGAGTCCTGAGCACGCCGCATGTCATACGTAGTATAGTTAACACGAAGAACTTTGTGACGATAAATCCGGTTGTTGATAATGACAACAGAGTTTCGCTGTGCTGTATTAAATGAAGTTTCGTCGCCGTCGTAGTCCAGCCCTAACAAGCGACCCAGAAGGTGGTCTTTGAGACGCGGAAGAAAATTCTAATTGCATCCAGTGAATAAATATAATTAACATAATACGGGCACCAGAGACCTACCCTTGTGGCCTGGTCATTTTTGTTCTTTCCGAGCCAGGAAGAAACATCCCAGAAATGTTTCTGTGACGAGGACATTTGATAATGGATCCCTGGTGAGCAATGCGGCAGTGGGTCCTGGTCAACAAAATGAAGAGACGGACGGAGATCCTCTGTCTCGGGCTGCACATGATCCTCTCTCGCAGCCTCCCTTTACGGTTCACCTCTCTCATCTTCTGCAAAATGCGCTCACGGCGCTGAAGTCTTGCAATTCCACGTGCGAATTTGTTCTTGTTGGTCCGCGCATAAAATTGCTTCACTCTTCGATGCTCGAGTTCGCCCTAACACCACAATTACTAATGGGTGAATGGTAAGTCATGGATCTCAATACTTACCACTTGCGTAGAGTAATTGTCCGTGGTCCCATATAGCCAGATTGACCTGACGTAGTCTCCGAGAGCGTGAAGTTTATAAGTCGATAGGTTGAAAATGTGTTGCTTCGAGGGGCCATCACCTTCAACATCAATATTCATCCTTTCTGACCTTGCGTTCTTGCCTTTAGACGATTTCAGACGCCGACGCCGTGCACGAGCAGCCGTTTCACGTGGCAAGTCATGAGTAGCAAATTTTTTGCATGTGTTGTCACGGAATTGCCGGAGAGCCTTTCCTAGTCGTGTTGTGCAATTATCGAAATGGTAGAGTGTTGTCTCCGTGTGCATATGAAGCTTCCCAAACGCATGCCAGGTGGCCAGCTCAAACAGAAGGTCAAGGATCGGGTCGTTGAATGGTGCTGGTAGAAGGCCATCGAATACTGGCATCGCACACTACCAGCATTGATCAGCGTGACAACAGCTGTATTACTTATATTCCTACCTGAAGCAAGTCTTCGAAATCACGCGCTGCGAGCTTCGTAAGACCTGATACATTATCACTAAACTTGCGGATGGTGTCTCGTCCAAATGTTGGTACAAGATGATACCTATATTATGTTGGACACACAAATATATGAGAAAAAATGACTTACCGCTCATTAAGATCTTGCACGGCATTACCTCCATATGAATACAAAATCCGCAGAAGGTGAGTAAGGGTTGCCTTCCATACTCCTAACTCAAACTCGTGCATAAAGTCGGGCACGAGCATAGAGTAGAAATCGAAACTGAACTTAGCGAGCTTCTCCGAAAAGGCATTCTAATAGAATGTGATTAGTAGAGTTTGTAAGCTCGTTGTATATCATACATACACGAATAGGTGCGACGGAGGTGGGACCAATGATTTTCTCAATCACAGAACTGGCCAAACTATAGCCGTCAACGAATATGAGTTTACGGACTCGCTCAATGAGACTACGCCGTGGATGATTGTCGACTCGAGAATTTCTGGTTCGCTGTCGTCGATCGAACTTTGTCCCTAGTTTGAAAATGTTGTCTTTGCTAACAAGACACCGTGGGCATGGGCACCTCCCGAGGAATTTCATGCATGCGAGTAGAACCCTAACATCATTGAGATTAGTATGGTGTGATCAAGTAAGATGTGAAACAGACTTCTCCGGATAATCAGCTGAATAAGTAAAAAAACGCGGAAACACACGACGAAAGACTCCATCAGGGAACTTGACAACGAAGCCATGTCGATATGCGTCTATGAAATCCGCGTCGAGTAGGAAGTGCCAAATCGCTTGCATTAATTCGCGTTTGCAGTGCGTGAGTACAGCTGCTGTCGCACTACGACCAAAAGTCTTCTTGTAGAAGTCTTGGATAGTATCTGATAGCTATACACATAATTAGTTCGTGTCCCAAGTTCAAATATTAAAGCTAAAGACGGACCTTTGGAATATATGCGAGATGATGTGCTGCAAATGATGTTGGCTTGCCACGAATATACTTTGACTGGTTGCCAATAAACAAGTATATCGGCCACAGAGAAGCATTCCCGAAACTCGCTAGATGAGTAGAGTCGGACCAGAGCATGATCGCACCAATGACAGTTTCCAAGTTACAGCCCGGTTCACCTGGCTGCGAGTTAAGCTTCTCGTGCTCTTGAAGCATGGCGTCAGATGTATACAACTCAGTAATGATCCTCTCTGGAGGTTCGTCATCATCAGGCTGCCAGAATAGTTTGTATGGCTTTGTGTGAAACGTCTTCGCTGCAACTTCCTGGTACGCAGACTTGAGGACCTCTAATGGCTTGCGGTAATAGAGCCCGTCAACGTCGAATTCAGGTGCACGATCTTCAGAGGAGAACTTTTCTTTTTCGCATGGAAGTCGGATTTTCACTGAGGCCTCATGCCACCCATCAGAAGAAAATATGGACGAGGCAGGATCATGTTGGGCCTTCTCGAGACGTGAGGCCTCCCTAGACGCATTGAAATATAACAAATCCTCTCAGCAGAAATCCTCCGCTAAAATGACATCATTGACTAGACGATTGAGATCTTGCAGTGATTTCGAGATTGATGAGTTGTAAAACCATGTCATGAGCCGAAAAACAGTGGCGTTGAGGAATGGTGCGAAGTAATTGTGGTGGACCGCTTCGAGTGATTGTCCAAAGCCAGCATACCACGGCCGTTCATAATCGGCATCTCCATCAACATGCTGGAATGTCGAGGAGTCACAAAGTGCATTGAAGTAGGCCGAATGTTCGGGGTCGTATGTTGGAAACGAATGAGGGTATTCACGAAAAAGGTCGAATGTATCAGCGTCCGTACGATGCTGCTCTGTAGGGGGGGCATGGTCCGATGGTGGTCTGTCGTCAAAGTCCATGGCAATGTTGTCGGGGTCATCAGGCACTGGTGCTATCTCATCCGGCTCAACTGGTGGTGGGGCAGGAATTGGCAGGACTGGAACTTCGTCACGGTAACGTTTGGGGAGACGTATCTGGCGATTGGGACGCCCAGATGGTCGTGAGTCCGCTTCAATATCTGGTACCTGTTCATATATGAATATCAAGTTTATGTTTCAAAAATAATACTTACCTCCTCAACACGAGGCTGCTGCTGTTGTCATTGACGATGCTGTACCTCATGTTCTTCTTGCTGTTTCCGTTCTTCCTCTACACGGGCCGCTTGGGCAATTGTTTGTCGGTGCTCCAGTCGCTCAGTAAGCGCGGATGTTGTAGCTACGTCACGCATGCGGCAGTACCTGCTGAGGTGCATGGAAAGTCCACGGTCGCGAACTTCGACATTACAGTTTGGACAGTTGACCATAGTGAGAACAGCGAGCAAAAATAATGAGACTGAGTAGAGCAGCATCAAGAGAGGCTGCTGGAGAGCTGTTGCATCAACGATTAGTATAATTGATAAGGCTTAAATACACATATGAGAACGGTCCAAAGGAATGTGTTTCAAAGGCATGGAACGAACCCGAAATAGGACTCGGACCATACCTTTGAAACACAAACCGTTATTAGAGATGAGGTTTCCCTCGTAATCCTGTGCGAGACGGCGCCAATCTTGAAATGCCCCGCAAGGCTGCCATGAGGTCGAAAGAGTCTAGCAAGGCCTTGCGAGACGAGTATGTGTACCCTGCGTGATGACGAACAAATACACTCAAGCCTCTGAAGGCATCATGTGGCCGTGGGAGAATATCCGGACCTTGCCGGACCTTGCTAGACTTGGGCACTTTTGCTGATGCGATTGAGCACTGGCTTGGATTGACTGACGCAATGTAGGTAGCATGCCAGGAGAGGCAAGAGCGAGTTGTGGAGGGCGTGGCGCACATATTTGTAGGCAATCGAGTGTGGTGGTGACATGTTTCAAGAGGTTGGGTGACGCTGCAATCAAACCCAGCCAATGTCCAGGGAAGCAGTAAGACTTGGAAAAGGAGAAGAGATGGATTACGTTCGACCTCCATGACCAAGAGGACTTCAATATGTCAGTCTGAGATGGAGAGAATAGGCTATGCGGGGGCATGGTGTCCACAAAATCTCGGTAGGTCTCATCAAGGATGAAAGCTATATTGTGTTTCCGTGCGAGCTTGGCGAAAACATTGAGATCAAGGCGGGAGAGTAAATTGCACCTGTCTGCATGGTGGTTATGAGTTAACGTGCATGAACAAAAAAGGGACGAACAGGGTTGTTTAGCGTCACAAGCGCAATCGCTTTTGTTCGAGGATCTCAGATCAACATGTTCAACTACAGCCCAGCAAGCCTCCCGAGACACACCAGTTGATGGACGAAGGTCAGACAGTCCACGGCATCAAACCGAATGTACGTGTCATAAAGTTATTCTTTACCCTGTCCATAACTATTATCAGGGTGACTAACCAGCCTGACTCAGACGAGGTACCAGCCCATTGCGCCGAACCGAATGTGCGTGCTATAAAGTTCTTTACCCTGTCTATCACACCGAACATGCTATGATCAGGACCCCGCAACCAAGGTGACTAACAAACCTGACTCAAACGAGGTAGATGCAGCTCGTCCGTATGCTAGAGAGGCCGTTTCTGGGTTAAACCCTGTTTTCGGACCTGTGCAAGCTGTGGCATCAGGCATCAACGATGCAGTCGACTACGTCACCCCGTTACTCGGAACAGTTTCCAAGTTCAATTTTATTGTTGACACGGTTGCCGAGGTATGGAATTCTCAACGCGCAGCAATTATGTCGGTCGTCATGCAGCGCAGATCCATCCATACGCGAAGGCAGCATGGGGTGTCTTGTTGGTTGTGCCTAAGGTATCCATTTACGTGCGCCCATATTTCTGATGCATGACTGGCCGACATACTATTCTTGCAGACCATCATCTCTTAGATGGCTCGCGACGAGTCTCTCCGGCAATCTTGTCAAAAATGAATGGCGTATATATGTTTCTCAAAGAGACAGACCTGGAGAACATCAAGACAATGAAAACCGTCGTTACGAAGATATGTCAGCAGACGCTCGAGTGTTCCTATTTCATTCGCGATTACTCCAAGAGCAAGAATTTCTGTGAGTCGACAGGCAACACGTGGTCATCAGGGATCTCACACGAGCTACTTTGGCAGGGACGAGGCTAGGAAAAAATGTCGTATCGGAAACTGATGAGACAGTAAAGAGATACAACACCGTTTTCGATGACCTCATGCAACAATTTCGTGATAGGGCAGCACATGACACGGTGGTGGTTGTGCACCGAATGTTGGAAGGAAGAAGGCTCTTTGATAGAAGATTGTATCATCTATCAGAGAGCCTCCAAAAATGTCCCCAGCCTGGAGACATTTTCGGAAGGTGGGCAAAGACTCCATTGGTTAAGTAGTGTCTCTGAGAGTTGCTGAAACGGTCCGATGGCAATGTCTAGCGGGGTTTGAGATGCCGTGACGTCCATGGCACGTGCATATTGACCAGTTCCACAAGGCTTGATCCTACCAGCCATTGTGCTGTAAGTAGTCAAGACTGTCGTCCCTTAACGTTTAACCGTTACGCCAACAAGCAGTGATAATCAAAGCTCACGCTTGATTATCGCGGACAGTATTTATGCTGAATATGGGAACTCAGGTAAGCCAACGGGCTTACTTGTGCATCGCGATGGAAATCAGTGCAAGTGACTATCTTATTGGTGTCATGGGTGCGCCCCTGTAAGCGTCACCCCATCTAACGAGGCTCCCTGTAGTAGTATCCCGCGAGCTGGCAGAGCATCTCTGCGAGTTGTGCATTGTTCGTGCCCGCACCGACGAAGCCCATGGCAAATATGTCGTTAAGTGCGATTGCAAGGTCGTGGTTGTGGTTGTATTGTGAGAGCATGTCGAAGAGAGTGAGCTGTGAATTTGAGGTGCTGATGAGGCCGAGAGCAAGGGGGACAGATCTGCGGATGATGGGATCGCCGTAGTGCACCTGAGAATGACGCGTTAGTGATACGATTGGACATTGTGTCTGCAGAAAAGATATACCAAGTGGTTGAACTGTCTCCTGGACATCTGAGAACCGATATCCTCTCCCATTGCGGTCATCGCAGTACCAAGAACGGTGAACGATTGGAAAGTATCGTCGGATTTCTTCTCCTCTTTCTTCTCATCCCTGGCCCCATACTTCTTCCCCTCTGCGCTCTCAGATTGCTCCTTCTCCTTGAGGGCATCCAGGTGCTCGCCACACAAGTGCAGCAATCTCTGCAACCACAGGACATTCCCGGTGGCAACGAAGGAGCACACTTCCACAAGAATCTGTGCCTGCCTTGAGATCGGGTGCTGGATAGCCTTCAGGGTCTCCAGTGTTGCATCTGAAGCATCCTGCAAGCCTGTGACTCCGACTCAACACGTCTCTCGACCCAAACAATCTATGCAGACATACCAACATAGAGCAGCGCCAACCACAACGCCATGAATCATCCCCACTTTTCATACAGCGCCGTGTCATACCTCTCCATCAGCGGCTGCAATATTTTGCTCGTAATCTCCCCATTTCCGCTGCCCACGAACACAAATCCCAGACTGAGAGCATTTATAGCAGTGATCTCCATTGATGCGCCGTTGTCCGCAACCGCAGGAAGGAGGAGAGTGAGCAAGTCCTCGCGGTGAGAGCCTGAGTATGCTACCCCGAGCCCCATTATTGCGGATATTTTGAGCGGGACAGATTTGTTCTCTGCATGTTCTGCTAGCAGAGCGAGGGTGGCGTCTGCTTGTGTGCGTACACTTGCGTTCAGCAAGCCTGTGGCGAAAATGCACCGGCCGGAGTAATTAATACGGATGCGCAGTGTCATGGTGTAAATAAATACCTTGATCCACTCCTCAAGGGAGTATGCATATCTGTCAATGTAGCTGAAGCCAACGTCCATGTCCCAGAGGAGTCCGAGTCCGAGACTTGCCGCAGCGCTCATCATGCCTAGAAAGGCCATCAAGAAACCAGCTTCACGAACTGGTAAGACAGTCACCGTGATCTTTGTTCTCATACACCCAGCTGTTGCCCTTGTCGGCTTCCACCATCAATTGATCGTTACCAAAACCAGCATCAACGAACGTATTGACAAATGTGCCTGCAAGGTTAGTGCGAGCCGAGTCGACATTGGCGGACTGCCCTGATCCTGAACATGGTTCAGAAAGAAAGAAAGTAAGAGTTTCAAAAAGTGGAACGCACTCGTGGTCTCCATATGACTCCTGTAAATGTCCTCGAGGCTTGGAAATGCCCGCAGATCCTCTCCCTCGATGACGTGCTCCACGCGTTGATGGGGGATAGGGCAACAGCTGGAGACGCAGATATGGACTGGACGGGAATATAAGGTGCCCTAGACTGCGACGCTGCCAAAGATGAGCGGGGCGAGAAGCATTTTCACTTTTTCACCTAGTGCTGCCGCGGTCCGGTTCAGTCCGGTTCAGGGGGTCCAGGACGAGAACCGAGAACCGAACCATGGTCCGGTTCTGCAAAATCTTCGAACCCAGAACCGGACCATCGAGAACCGTTCTTTGCGGTGTGGGTGAGGAAATAGGAATGCAAACTCCGGAGAGTCACAAGAATATCTACCTCGAGAGGCGAGCTAGTAGAATCGTCCCTTAGGGGATGCTACTGAGTCAATCTCTCTAAATGATGAGAGGGATCAAGAGAAAGGCTCAAGTCGGAAGGTGCGTGAAGGCGCGCGGGAACGCGCGAGGCTGATGTGATGAACGCGCGAGCCGTGCGGAAGGGTCTGAAAGCGCGCGGTACGTGCGCGATGGGAGAAGAGTTGCAGAGGATCGTAGGAGCTCCCTTTGGATGAGGAACGAGACTTCACAAGACAAAGAAGATGATAGACAATGACTGCAATGATATTAGGGCTCTAAGCGCGACTAGACAGGAAACTGATAGTGAGTCCAAGTAAGGGAAAAGTAAGTAAGTCCGAAATCCTCTGAGTCTTCTAGATATGTAGGTCGCTACACGAGCTCTCAGGGTATTGAGACGTAAGGGAAGCGGATAGGCTGCGCGGAAGCGCGCAAGGAAGCGGATAAGTATGTAACACTATGTAAAAGACCCTGGATGTGGTCAGAGACGGAGATGACAGTGAGAGTACGCACCAACGGTACCGGACAGACAGGACAGGACATGGGAGGATATGCCGAGGATAGCGCCGGTCTGCGGAAGGGCGCGGAAGGTTGCGTGCGTCGCGGAAGAGCGCGGAAGGTCGCGCGTGTTGCGCGCGACTCTATTGGACTGCGCATACATGAGGATAGTGATGAGGTCGATGTATATATCAGGGGATACGAGCCTGTAGGGATATTACTCCCTACAGCGGTCCGGTCCGGTTTTTTTCTGGTCCGAACTCGAACCGAACCGAAAATTTTTCTATAGTGAGCGCAAAAAAAATGTTGACAAAATGCTAGTCTACACATTGAGTAGCTAGTCTAACATAGCCGCAAACTCTTCTGCCTCTGTAGCTGCTGAAATATGACCATTGCGGTAACCTGCCTTCAATAACTGGAGTGCGGAGAATGTAGCTGGGGCCAGTGCATTGCGGCGTAGTGTTGATGTGATCCCCCCACTAGAGAAGGCACGTTCAGAGGGAACCGCACTGCCCTGAATAGGTAAATAATCGCGCGCAATACGAGATAGTGTTGGATACTGTAGTGAGTGTAGCTAATCAATAGAGTGAGCTCAGAATGTGATAATACAAAGAAAAACTTACCCCCCACCACGCCACAATATTATCTGTCTCTTCCAATGGCGAAGTAAGATATGACGAGAGTTCTTGAAGCGGGTCACACGTGCGATTGTCTGCTGCTTGACGTGCCATGACAGCATCGCGCATCCAGGATTGGCCGTACCGAACACCCTGCGACACTTTTGTTGGCACAGTAGCGTGTTCCATGGTGTTGGTGCTGTTGGTGCGCGACATCGGAGGTGCTTTGTAATATTTATTGAACTACACAACAATCAGCCGGCAGAATATTTAAGTGAAATAAAACTTACCAAGGCTTGAAGACGAGCCCTCCCACTTGCAACCTTTGCAACGCTCCAACGACTTTCGACATATGCCAACTTGTAGTTGGGGTCGAGAACTAGACAGACAAAGTATACATCAGAGTCGTTAGTTTTCTGGTAGTACTTCGCCACGTTCTTGAGGCCTTTCTGAATTGCGTCAGCGATTGGTGCATATTCTGCGCTGTTGGCCATCGTCTGCCACGTATCGGCGAGACACTCCAGTGTAGGAATGGTTTGTGAGGCTGTTGGGTGTGCGGCTGAAGAGAAAGACTGCTGCGCAGTTGCAGGCTCCTATATTAAACATAAGTTAGTAAACAAGTAGACGAACAAACAAAAAAAATATAGCTACCTTGAGGACATTACAAACGAGCTGTATCTTCTTCCAGTCAAGCCGATCAAGCCTGAAGTCGCTGTATGATTTGTTGCGCAACGTCGGGACTTCAGGACTCTCGTCAGCAAGCAGGGTGAAGCGGTTGATGGCCAGACGAAGAGACACGAAACGTTCCAGGCATTTGAACAAAGATGCCCAGCGCGTTCTCACCCAGGCCAAGATCTCGCGAACGGGGATTCCCTCTTCCTCACAGGACTTCTTCAAGAACGCGCGGGCTTGTGGGGATTTGCGAATCTAAATTTCGCGTCAGAAAACAACTCGGAGACCAAAACTAAGACTTCACCTGTTCAATGAGAGCAAGTGCCTTTCCAACGGCGTCCCCAACATCAAACCCATCCTCAGTTATAGCTTCGGGATCATCCTCCAGTATAGCGAGCTGTTCAGTCAAGCTGGCAATGTCAGACTCATCACTAGCGCCACGGATCTTTTTGAGTAATGTTGCTTGAGGGGTGGGTGCGACTGCGTCAACGAAATGACGTGCAGCGAGATTGAGGATGTGCTCTTGACATCGGATGCAGCGAGAACCCGGAAGCCAATGAGTGCCATCCTCGTCAATGACCTTCGCTACTTCTTTCATGGCGGTATCATTGTTCGAGGCGTTATCTGATGTCATCCATCCAACCTGTACATACAAGTAAAGTTAGTCTAATGCTAATGTGAAACATTTAAAAAAACTTACCTTCTTGCGAATGCTGAACCTATCTATGGTCTCAACAAGTATGCAGCTAATGTTATGGCCGCTGTGGTTGCCTTCGACGCGGCTGAAAGCAAGCTGCTCGTTTTTCAACTCCCACTGCAGTGGCTTGTCGGGGGGGTTCCAAATGTAATGCCCAGTAACGGAAAAGAAAGGTTCACCAATAATCGACGTCCACGAGTCAAATGTCATGGAAACTGCGCTGTCAACATGCTACCAAAATGTTTTAAAGGACTGGTCACAATATAATTAGAAAAAAAACATACCACCAGACGTTCTTTGATAGTTTGAACAATAGAGGTTGCTCGAGCCTTGATTGTATCAGTTAACTTTGTGCGATGCGGGATGTCTTTTTCGGTAAGAGATGGACGTGCGTATTGCAGTAAACGTCGGAATGCTGGCTTATCGATTAACTGTATTGCCTAGCATGATGTAAATAAACTTCGAATGAATAAAATTAAAAAAATTGACATACCTCGTCTTCCGTCACAACCAGTTCCATAATATATTCGAGTAGTCCATCCTTGGTAAACATGGGGGGTTTCGAAACAAGGTTGGTGTCAAGAGTTGTTTGCGTCACGGTGAGATGATCTTCTCCTGGCGGAATAGCACGAGGGTGCATACTAATGCTTGCAGCATCACAGTGCTGCTTGTACACTTGAAAGTGGGTCTTCTTGTGGCAAACAATGTGTGTGCGCAGTGTTGAAGTGCCTCTGCGAAAGGTGTGCTTGTGCGCTGGTTCACCAGCATCCCTTGTGTGAAAGTTTTAAAAAAATATCGAAAATGAGATGGACGACTTACTTGCACAGGGTACACACCCACCCATCAGGACCACGAGTGAATATAGTTCTAACATCTGCTGTACGTTCATTTTTTGAAAGCTAAATATACAGGTGTTAGTGAAGGAAGGAAGACAATCAACATGAAAGATACATACCGTCTGAGTGACAACTCCATTCTCGGACTTGGCGTCATCGGTATCATCTAAGTCTTCGACATCAGGTTGAGGGACCAGCTCATCAGCGGATGATTCTCCTGGATCGACGTCCTCGTCTTTGTCTTCATCTTCAGAGTCGAGAGGCGATAAAAATCGCATAGCGACTTTCTTCGGTGCCGGATGGTCTGTAGCGCTTGACAATGCGCGTTTCCTCGTGCCTGAAGACAGCCCACAGGCGTTGTCAGCATCACGCATACGAGCTGAGGGCTTTAAGGGACGGCCAGACCGCCGAGAACCGGCTGCGACTGTTGCTGGGGTACGTCCAGCTTTGAGTAGAACAGAGTAGGCATCTCTTGTAGATGCAGTTGATGTCGATGGCTGGGTGGAAGGTGGGACGTTGGGAAGGGGTACATCGTCATCAGGATCATTAAAGAAAGTGATATCGGCAGCATCCTTGAGGGAGCCGTCAGCGTTAAGTGCACAGGCGTCTTGAGACATTGTCAGAATCAGTCAGATGACAGAGATAACTCACAATGTTGTCGTCAGTACCTCGTTTTGTACATGGAGCAGGGAGCCAACAACCACGCGCCCCAGAACAAAGACTTGAGAGCCGGTGGAGGATCATGACTGTCTAGGAAGTGTGCAGACTTGAATTAACATATATCTGTGACATAGTCAAACATATGTCAGTAGGCAAGAATATTGATAATTTGATTAGTTAGTACTTACCTTCAAAAATGCTAAAGATTGCCTGATTAACCTAGAGCGCAAATCCCAAAGACGACAGTCTGACGTTGAGGCCAATGTTGTCGAAGTTGAAGTTGAAGTTGATCGAAATCGAAGTTGAAGTTGACAACGGTTTGGAACGGTTCGGGAAGGCCGAACCAAAATAGAACGGTTCGGGGATATGTAGAACCGAGAACCGCCTTCCGGTCCGGTTCTGGCTGATGCGAGAACCGTGGACCGAACCACGGAGAACCGGACCAAAAGTCCGGTTCAAACTGTGGTTCTGGACCGGACCGCGGCAGCACTATGTCCACCTGCTCAGGCAGCTGCATCTCTGCTTGTCCAGTGTTGCGCCCGGGACACGGAGGGGGGGAGAGGGTGTGCGAGGGTGTTTGTCGTTGCCACACTTTGTGGTCCTGCTGCGGGTGTAGATGTCGAATGGTGGAGACGAGAAGCGGAGAGAAATTGTTTGTGAAGGAAAGGGATCAGTCAGAGAAGGGAGGGATTGGGAAGAGATTGGAGCGGCACTTTCAGGGCGAGATTAACAGTATCTATGAAGATGCGAGCTGAGAGGATGCACGGTGATTAAGTGAAGTTTCTTTTTTGCGAGTGACTGGGTTCGACGGGTGGAATGAAATATTGATGCATGGGGGGTTTGCACTTCTACAGGTGATGCACGATCCAGGAAGAGGAAATACAACAAAATCTGGATCTCAAGTATACAAAGTACGTTGAGATGCAGAAAGAAAGAGGGCAACGAACACCAACTCACCCTGACCCACGAGTGGTCCATAGGTGATGTAGGCGGGCTTTAAAGGTTGCCGGAGCAGTAGTAGATGGTTGATCAGTGGGTAGCCGAGACATGAAAAATGCAAGTTGGTGATGTGATGGCAGCCATTAGCACTCACATCCTCGCGTGGATCTATGCGTGAATGTGCATGAATAGTGGCTAGTGGCCTGTAGTGAGGGAGAGTAGTTGGGAGGTAGGGGCAATATAAGAGGAAACTGTGGAGAGACTGTCGAGTCAAATGTGAAGTACTTCAGATTGTATTCTTAATTTCTTCCAGGGTCTTCAGGAGCTGAGTGACGCTTCCTGCAGAGGAAATAAGATCATAGAATGTTGCTGTTCGTGCCAACTTCATGGATCTAGAGGAATTCAAATTGGAAGGAGTGTTGTCCTGAGGGTGGGTCACAGAGGAATCACAATCAGATGGTGTGTCTATGGTCGACACTGTTGCAGAAGTCGCCATCATATCGCTGGAGTGTGGTGCCAGCCTTAAGAGTCTGTTCGGGATCACGATTTCGCCCAACTTCGAGAAATTCAGAAAAGACAAAAACAACTTAAGTAAGCATGCCGGTGTGCCGTGTGCCCTGGTCACAGTGTGACATCTTCTTATCGATTCAATCATGCCCTCGACACGAAACTCATCAGCGCGATACTCTCTCCGGTTCCACCCAACTATGACTAAAGGAAAAGGTAAAAAGAAAGCAGCCACTGACAGTCAGGAAACTGCCGCACCAGCAAAAGACCGCTGCATATGGTCTCTGGATGATGAGAGGAAGCTCGTGGAATACACTGTACAACACCACACCAAAGGTGGCGATGGTATGAACTTCACCAAATCGTTCTGGGTTGGTGCCGCCGCCGAGATGGCAACACGCCCATGCCCCGAAGGCGCTCCCAAGACACCCGAAGCCTGCCAATCCAAATGGACTCGGGTAAGTACTATTGTTGTATTGATACATGTGCCGTTACTGATATAATTTAATGTATCTCTAGATCAAAAAGATGTATCAGGTGGTCGACAAAATTGCTAGCCATGCCTCGGGGCTATCATTCCACCCGGAATTAGGAGCCAACATCAGCGAAGAATCAGAGACTATGTGGGCGGACTTTATCAAGGTCTTTTTTCGTCTATTTCCCCTGCTCTACCTTACTAATTATTCACACAGCATAACCCCTCAGCGAAGCCTTTAAGAAACAAAGGCTGGTCACATTACGAGGCGCTGCGAGGGATCATTCCGACACACACGAGCAGCTGGGTTGGGTTTCATGCCGGCACGAGCCTCACCACAAACACGTCGACTCCTACAGCAACTGGTAGCGACATAACTCAAAATACTACCGCCGATGCCCCCGCCGATGTCATGTCGTCACTGGAGAACGTGCTCCATCAGGTCGAGTTCCGCGATCTCGATCTCGATGATGACGACATGCGCACCACCCCAATACCGAACGATACCCCACCTGTCCCCACGCCTATCCTACCTGTCCCCGCGCCTATCACACCTATCACGCCAAGAGGCTTCAACGCTGCAATGCAGCCTTTTGTTGCCCCCTCGATTTCCACGCCTGGTTCATCAACCGCAGTGAAGCGCAAAGCCGACGGGGATGATAGTGAACGATACGCGTCCCGCCCTCCACACTCTTCAAAAGCAAAGAGTGCGTCAGGGTCGTCGAAATCACAACGTCTCACGCTGCCGCTGGCTTTGGAAGGGTTGGGGGATAAAGTGTCCGGCGAAATATCTACCGCGTCATCCACACTTCAGGACGTCATCACAGCCCACATCATGGAGCCCGTTCCATCCCGCAAGCGGCGCGCCATGCTTCGAGTCCAAGAGGAGAAGGACTTGGATGATTATGACGCTGTTGCAATGATCAGGCTGTTTCAAGCTGACGTCACTATCGCTGACGCGTATAATAGCATTACAAGAGATGGTATTAGGAAGATATTTTTAGCGCAGCACCTGCAGGAGGCAAGGAGAGTGCGCGCGAACGAACAGCAACTTTTATAATACCTTTACAATACATCTGCGCGCAATACAATACTTGAAGTTGACAGAAAACATTATCATGATTGGGCAGCAAAGACAAGATACATTGTACATAGGACTAGATACCTACAGCAAAAAAATGACAATATTATTCAGTTTGCACCAGGTGGCACAGGTGCTCCTCTGCGCCGCCTTTCCGCAAGGTAGTCATCCCACATCGACTGAGAAATCTCGTCACGAACATTGTGTGCACGAATGCGTGCTGCTTCAGTGGGAGGTCCATCGGCGAGTGTGCCGCTATCATAGTTACCGCTCCACTCATCCGCCTCCATGTCACGATAGTCGAGTAATTCGTCTGGGTCGTGGATGCAGATGACATTGTGTACGAGACACAATGCCGGAGGGATGCGGGCCTGTATGTCGGAATTGTACTCTGGAGGGAGCCGAAGTATACAAAAGCGGTTTTTGAGGACACCAAAGATACGCTCGACGACATTGCAGAGCTGCACGTGGCGTAGGTTGTATAATTCCTGGGCATTGCAAGGCCTGCAAAGATTGTAAGTACTGCGCCAGGGTGATAAGTCAACTCACTGCAACATACACCTGATTTGCGCGGCCCCATTCAGCAAGGTGGTAGCGGACACCACGATAAGGCACGAACAATTCATCGCATGCACCAAATCCAGCATTAGCCAGGTAAACCTTGCCTGGAGGGATTGTAAAATCAGTGAGACGTGCCACGTTGTAGACACGAGCGTCCGCTGCGGATCCTTGAAAGCCGCTCAACATGTACGTGAAACGCATGTCGAAGTCGCATGCAGAAAGGCAATTTTGAGTTAAATTGCCTTTGCGGTCACGAGCGGCATCGCGATCAGCAGCTGAGGGATGGCAATTGATGTGCGTGCCGTCAATAGCGCCGATAATGTTTGCGAAATACGGGTATAGTTTCGTTGTCTCAACAATTTGAGGGGGTATCGGAGTGTCTGCGTCGGGGAGCCGGACGTAAGTGGAATAGATTGGGCGGGAGGAGAATGCGATGAGAATGCGTTTGAAGTATCTGAAAGGAATAAAATTAGTACGCATAGCTAGGGGTAAGAGCGGGGGGACGCACTTCGATATAGTATCGTTTGAGCGCTGGAAACGCTCAGCAAGGTGGCGTACAGAAATGCCTGTAACGCAGGCATATAGGAAGATGGCTAGCTGCTCTTCTAGGGTGACGTGCTTTGAGTCGTTGATCCCGCCATTGCGAAGTAATTGAAGTAGGATGATGAATATGTGGCGATGCACGCCGAGCTCACATCGAATCCGCTCTGGATGGCCATTCAGCAGTTCGTTGACCCAGCCAACCCCCGTCAGGATTGACGTGTGATAGGGTTGTTTGTCGTAGTAGGTAGTAGTGTATGTGTTTACAGCGATCCCCGCAATGTTGATGACTTCGGAAGCCGACGAGACCACGCGCTGAAAGAACTGAATGATGGCTTGGAGAAATTTTAAGTCGGATTGTTCAGCGTCTTCTACACTCTCCTCCAAGTCCTCATTAGACTCATCTTCCTCATCTCCTTGGTCCTCCTCATCCCTCTCATGATCCCTCGAGCCTGATGTTGTTGAATCCTCGTCATCGACCTTGTCACAGTATAGCAAGAGGTTGGAAAGCATGGCCGCGGTGTGCGTATACTACACGCGCATATTGATAACAACTGATCAGCGTGACATCGGTTTCAAGCTCCGATCAGGGCGTGCTTACTTAACATTGTTTTTTTCTTTTCTGAATTTCTCGAAGTTGGGCGAAATCGTGATCCCGAACAGACTCTAAGGTCACCACCAAGTTGTTACCAGTCACGTGCATCAGCAAACTACCAATTTGGTGACAATATTAATTCCCGGAAAATTGGTCATGGCAAGGGGTGCAACGGTCCCCTATGCCATGACGCAACTGCCATCGATCGTTGGTTAGCATGCTCGTTTCAAGTGGAGTTCTCCAGATTCCAAATATTTCTGTTCGTTGTTCACCGCAGCGTGCTGCAACACTCCCTCATCATTTCACGCAGCGAGCACGACCTAACCGATCATATGTGTCGTGTCTTTAACTGATGGTGCATCGTCCGCCAGACTCTCGTCTCCTGTCTAACCTCATAGCACACGAAAAGGAGTATGCCCAAACATCTATCCGCTCTTTTCCCCATATCACCTGCTGCTCTTGCATCTCTTTCTGCATTCGCAGTTGCCTCCCCTTCCGCCATACCCAGTTCTTCAGTCTCCTTTGCCCAAACTATTGGCACCATCGTTGATATCCTCACCGGCGTGGACGATGCTCTCCAGCTCTACAATCGGGCGGTCAAGAACTGGCACGACCAGCTTGGTCACTTGACAAAGCTATAGGAAGACATAGCAGCCACTCTGCATGACAGGGAAATTCTGTCTGTCCTAACTCTCTCTGTACCAGCTCTCTGTTAACCTTCATATCAGTGTTACTCACGTAATCAAAGTATCCAAATCCTCCAAGGCTACGCGGGATCGTCGTTCATCACTGACTCTACCATCAGGCTCTACATCATTTACGTCTCTCCCTTCTACCAATTCTACAGCACATAGCGCTTCTACCACTAAACTTTTGCAAGCTCAAGAGGAGCTACGCGCTTGCGAGGCTCATTTAGCCGCTATGGAGCTGGAGCTAGAGGGACTTCGGGTCAGCATAGCAAGAGAAGGTCTCGGTGCTCGCTGTCGGGGCTATTATTGATTGTGGGTGGGCTTGGGGCGAATTGGGCACAGAAGGTCTTCGGGTGTTGCAGAGTCTTAATGTGTCAAGTTCAAACGGTTAAGGTGTGCTGCTATGCTGTGTTTTCTTTCTTTCAAATCACCTATTCACAAGCGTGATGCGCACGCATCCAGTTCTAGAATCACTATCAGCGTCATTTTCATCGCATTCGCCCTCTGCGTCCATCACTCATTCCCAACAAAAGCCTTTACCTTCTCCCGCGCTACCTCTCCATGTCACACAGAGCCCAATATCCTACTCTTCTGACATTTCCTACCTCACGCTTTCTCAAAGTGCTTCGCAACAGCACGATGGGCCCTCTCGTGGGACTAGCCAAGAAGGCGTGGTTCCTGATCGTCCTAGCTTCAATGGTCATCAAGAAGTGACAATCACCATTCCTCCTGTGCACGCCATCTCAGAACTTACCATGCCCACTGGCGTCCGTTCTCCGTCCCCTCTCAGCAACCCCTTACCCGAGATATCAACAGACCTCGAAGCCCATCCCCTCCCGCATAGCAGCAGTACTTAACAGATCCGCTGTCCATTGTCCACGGGTCTTCACACATCTGCGGGTGATGAATCGATGGAATGTGTAGGAGGCGCATTGCGTAGCGGCCGGATAAGGTTTGCAGATGCTAGACGAGTCAGAGGACAGTTGGAAGGCTTACATAAATGCATAGACCCATAAACGCCAGAACAAAATTTGTAATTGATTAAGAGGATACTATAGCAAAATGAATCAAAAGTAAAGACTGTAGTTAAATTGGCAGAGCCCACTATCAAGGTAGCTTCCTGTTGTGAAAAACTCACTGACCGCATGGTCTGATGCTGGATGTTAGTGTCAAGCGACTGGGTCTCGAGCTGCATGAGTGACTCACCGCCTTTGTGCTCAATAGCATGCGGAAGTGGAGCGCACTTGGTATACCATCGTTTGCGAATCCTGTCGATCAGACGACGTCTCTTCTTCATTGAGACCAACTCCATGTTTGACTTCCCTGGTGTTCAAGCTGGAAAAAAAGTGAGCGTCAGATGAAAGGTTAGGTAAACGACATACAGTCCCAAGATAGTATTCACATAAACTATGACACGTCATGAGCATATACACGAGGTACTAAGCGGGTGCTGAAAATGTACCTCTGCATGATACCATCTGGAATGCTATCCAGTATGGTTTCCCTCGTGCTGCAACAAACTGTATAGATTAGTTATGGAGGGCTGCTCCCTGAGAATACACCTACCGTGCCAAGGTAGGCCAGCTGAATGACCCTGACAATTAGAAACATGGTTAGGCTGCACAAGTTAGCACAGAGTAAAACTCATGCGAGTCCTAGGCCACGGCCAACGCACAGCACAACAATATTGTCTACCACTCCCTCAAGCCTGAAAACAATGTGTGAGCAGTTGCGTGTACCTCACAACATAAAACACTAACAGGAACAACTCCGGATAACGTGCTGGACGCAATGACCAACACATCGCAACGAAAATGATGATGTTCATGACTGCTGCGAAGCCTTGGCTGATGCCAATGACAACCTGCGATTCCCGGTGAGCATTCTCAGGATTGGCCACCACGTTGACAATCACAATACCACCAAACCCTGCGAATTTCTGAAAGTCAACCAAGCTGGCACTGTTCCTGTTCACATCCTCGATGGACACCCCAAAGTAAGTTTTGTTGGAGTTGGATTTGAGGAGATTGCCCTATGGTGTGGGCCATTCATTCATAGTATCGACAAGGTCAGAGAATGAGCCTGTCGCATACGAATTAGTCGCACCGGGTCAAGAGCAGAGCCTGATTTGAGCCATTCAATCTGACCCTCATTGAAGGAGTGAGCGAGAGGAATTTCCTGCAAGATCATCACGTCAGCACAACAAAAAGCCATCACAGGATCCAGAAACTCACATTCTTACTACCATCCGCATGCTTGGCAACAAGAGTCAAATTCTTTCTGGGTTCGAAGGTGTCCAAGCTCGAAATGTCAACCTTGTTGCTGGGCTGAATATTATCGTAGTCCTCAGGATTAGCGAAAGTGAGACCAAGCATGCCCTGCTTCTTCAATTCGTCTCGTGGATACGAGCGAAAGACCGACCACCAAGGTAGCGGGGCTCAAGGGCAGCGTGCTCACGAGGGTCTTGCCATCCCAAGGCGTGAAAGGCTGGAAGAGTTGAAGACAGTTGCTCTTGGGGTCAACTGCAACCACAACACTAGCACGGTCCACAGGAGGAGGCTGAAAGGTGTTCCGGCCGGGTCATAGCTCCGAGGAGGAAGCTCATTGCCAGTGGGGTCCGAGAACTTGAAGGGTTTGCCATCCGAATCAATGAGGGTGTCCAAAACCGGGTTGAAGGTGAGGTCACCAGCGAAGGCCATTGCAGTTACAATATCCGGGAAAGCGACGAAAGCGTAGGCGGTGGGGTTAGCATCATTACGACCGGTGAAGTGACGGCTGTAGGACGTGATAACTCAAAATCATTGGTTAGACAATGTAATACAATGGCACAAACAACGCACTTGAGTTGACCTCGCCCTTCTTGACGTCTTTCCTGTCCCATTGACCGATGCAAGGACCGCATGCGTTAGCCAGAACGAGACCGCCAACATTTTCAAAAGCACCGATTTGACCGTCACGTTCAACGGTAGCACGGACTTGCTCAAACCCAGAAGTGATCGTGAACCTGCTCTTGACATCAAAACCATGCTTGGCAGCTTCACGGGCAATGGAAGCAGAGCGTAACATGTTCTCATACAAGATTTTGTGCAGGAACCTATGAGAGCAACCTTGACTTCTTCTGCAAACCCCGAGAGTGGGGTAGCAAGATCAGGAGTGAAGGGACCGTTGATGTAAGGCTCGCGTCCCGAGAGGTTTCAGGCGCATAGCATTAGTCCAGACGACAAGTCACAAGGACATCAATGACATTACAAACAATCTCGATATTCTGGCCGTACTTGCGGCCCTCGTCAGCCTCAAGGTCGTGCGCAAACAGATGAACATGGTAGCGTTTACAAATCTGAATAAAAAGTAATTGATCGAGAAAAAGAAACATTCGAAACAAAGTGTAACGAAAATAAATACCTACCCCAAAGTCAAGCGCAAGATCTTCGACATTGACAATATCCATCAATGCAACCTTACGGAACAGCTAGATATCAGGGAGGTCAGAATACATCCTATCATAAAGCGGTAAATCAGTGAACATTCCTTCTTGTTCTGCCCTTTGATGGACGCGTAGCTCTGAAGTTTGGAGAGCGAGCTGGCAAGTTCGTTGTCCACAAGCTAGACAAATCATGTGAGTACAGAGTCTTATCCGTGTACAACATTTGAATGGATAAACTGGGATAGCGCCCGAAGGACTAACCTTGGCTTTCAAGACATTTCCAATATCGCGGTAGATGTGGCTCTCAGGCAGGTGTACTTCGGTGAGAATCATTTTGTCATCTAGCTTTTTCAACTGTGCAGGATAGAAATGCTGAGAGCGGCATTCAGCACAGTCAGCAAACAGGTGACGAGTACTCACATTGAGTAGATGCAGTCTCAGGATCTGCAACAAATACGGAAGCACGACCAATTGTCTGTGTCACAGAATCAGGAAGTTAAGTCATCTTCGTTGCAGAACCTAGAAGCGACTGAGGGGCTGAGGGGACGAAGTTGGAGAAAGCGATTTTGTTAATTTCTCCCCGATGGTCTCATAAATGGAAGTCTGTGATGCACGGGCTTGAGAGATCTGTCTTTGGTGACCGTGGCCACAAGCACGTGGTCGTCCAAGAAGGTGAGTGGTGTTGGACAGCATGTAGTTGACATGCGAGACGTCAATGCTAGACTGTGAGCCTTCCGAGAAACAATGCAGAAGGAAATCAAATGCCGAAACACGATAACAATTTGCTGCGGAGCGACTAGACTGCTGCAGACTTCAGAAGGAGAAAGTTTGGCGCCAGTAAAGAATCAGTAAAAGACATGAAAGGAGACAGGGGAGATAGATGGAGCATGTAGTGCAGCTCAAGTTCCACCTTCCGTTACAAGTTGAGTCCCAATAAGGAAATAGACATTGTTATGTCATAATGATTGATTGATTGGGAAAGGACAAGCAAAATGTCTATATGAATAACAAGCAGCTCACAGAATATGGTGTGAGGATTGCATCACAATATATTCAGTGAAGTTGGTTGTTATCAATATAGACGCCAGCAGAAAATCATACCCAAATCATGCTGTTCTGTCCATAAGTTCATCGGAGCAGAAGAGCTTCTGGGAATGAGGAGACTCACCAATCTTGAGAAGAATGGTTATAAGGCCTTTGTCAGGTTGAGGACTGAGGGCATAAGTGAATGTTGTGGTTTCTGGGTCAAATCATAATGACATTACAAAGAGGGACATCTACGAAGGCAAAGCCAGCCAAGAAGCAAAAGTCAGTCAAATCTAAGACTGGGACAATCTTTGTGTGTGAACAAAGGTTGTCTGAGTTTTAGACTTGACTGTCTTTCGCTTCTTGACTGGCCTTGCCCTTGTGAGTTACACCATTCATAATTCCATCAGGAGTTGACCGATGTTGTTGGAATGGTGCAAACAAGGTCAATAAATAGTCGCCTGGGTTGAGGGTTGTATTGGGCCGAGGGTATGATTGGATGGAGATCACATTTGGCCAAGGGTTTCCATGGGCTGAGGGTTGATGGAAATTCTCCATTGGTTGGAGATACCAGGATACCAAGATATGGCGCCTGGGCTGAGGGCTGAGGGCATAATTAGATGGAGATTGCATTTGGCCAGGGGCGCTGGGCCAAGGGTTGTATGTGGATGAGAGCTTCATTGGATTGATGGTTGCATTGGGCTGAGGTTGTCATTCAGCCTCATTCCGACAACATTGGGGAAATTGTGATGGAGTTATGATGTGAGATATTTATGAAGGTAAAGCCAGCCAAGAAGCGAAGGTCGGTCAAATCTAAGGGCTCCTCCCCTTCAAGGGGGATTCATCTCTGATAGAGGTGACCAGAATTTCCGCTCTGGTGGCTATGTAGGTAGCAAGGTCTTGGTTCCTCCCATTGATGTGGGAAACAGCTCTGATGAAGGTGGCCAAGATGAGAGTGGCCACTGCGTCCTCTAGACTATGTGTCACAGGCTGCACATGCTTGGTTTGGCAAGGAATTTGAGCCGCAGCCTCAAGCAATGGCAGCCACACCAAGGGTTGTCCGAGTCCTTAGATTTGACTGACTTTTGCTTCTTGGCTGGCTTTGGCTTCATGAAGGTCCCTCTTCGGAACTCCATTACAATTTGACAGAAGGCCAAAGAATGTGGTTCCTCCCACTATGTGGGATACAGCTCTGATAGAGGTGACCAAGATTTTTGCTCAGAACCTCCCTGACTTCAAAATTCTTATGAAGACATTCTAAGCCTTTTGTGAGTACGCTGATGGATCATTGGGCCTCAATCCGACAACATTGGTGAACCTGTGATGGAGTTACGAAGAGGGACATTTATGAAGCCAAAGCCAGCCAAAGCCAGTCAAATCTCCGGACTATCCCGTGACATATTTTGT